GGAAGTGCAGACAGAGAAAGTCTGCTGAGGGAGCCACTAAAGGCCTAAACCATCTCCTCTATGAGTAGAGAGAGCATGAGGACAGCTGGACACACATTACACATCACTGTTGTCGAAAGAAACCCTTGGAAGGGCTTTCCCCAGAAGGAAAAAACCTACTTTGATTTTAATGTAAGTCAATGGAACCAGGCGTTTTTCTAAGTCATTTTGGGTCGTTTCTTTTTGTCCATTCATCATGAAATTTACACACAATGTAAAAGCCAACAGGCATTTTCAGATTACGTCAAAAACTGAAAAACATAAAAAATGAAGATACAAGGTTTTGTTCCAACAGCAATATGAAAATTGAAGAGAAGCCTGTAAACAGCACTGTCCATAAAAAAAGATCCTCTTAAAGGGGAACTTCACCGAATTTTCAAAACCTCTACATAATTAAATGGTTAAGATGTAAACAGAGTCATTCAGAGTGGTTTGGTGTGAAACGCTCTGTTGTAGAGAAACTTAGAGTCAGAATTGTTCACAGTGGTGGTGATAGGAACCAGACGTCCACCTCTAAAAGCTCCCTCACAGTTACTATGTGTAATGGTTTTAATACACTGCCTGATGCCAGTTTTATGGTAGTTCTGAGAGAAGGTTTTGGCCTGAAATGTATATTTTTGTAATCCATTCATAGTGGAGAGGTATGTGCAGTGTGTTCTAGTGCAAAATATCTCCAAAGTAAGCTTATTTTTTCAGCTTTTCCACTATTTTACCATCATCAACTTTACATATACAAACTCAGAAGACTCGTGTAGGTTCACTGGTGGTTTTGAAAGTAAATAAAATGTCTATTTTTGTGTTGTAGTCATGGTGACCCCTGGTTCCCATCACCACCACTGTAAAGACATCTGAGTCTCTACAATCAACCACTTCTAACTAACCATGCTATAAATGTCATGGCAGATATGCTGTCAAGAGTTATCAGGACAGACTATGTACAGTAATATAACGCTGTCATGTTACCATCATTAATTGTCATGACAGGCGTCATAATGTTGATGTCTTGGTGTTAATCTAGAGTACTCTTAGCAAAAATAACCATAGGACATGAGCTGTCAAACATTATGACATCTGACATGATGACTAGCAATGATGGTCACATGACACTGTTATTAGTGGACAAAATCTGCCATGACATGCTTTTGGCATGTTTATGTCGATGTTACTTAGCAGAATTCAAGGAAAAATTGCTCTGCGTAAAAGATGGTGGCTTTTGCCTACACTGAGCACCCACACCTCACAGGACCCCCACAGGACCAGAGCAGGTATTTGGGTGGCGGATCACTGTGTCCACTCAGTGTCCACTCTATTAGACACTCCTACCTTGTCGGTCCACCTTGTAGATGTAAAGTCAGAGACGATAGCTCATCTGCTGCTGCACAGTTTGTGTTGGTCATCCTCTAGTCCTTCATCAGTGGACATCACAGGACGCTGCCCACAGGACGCTGTTGGCTGGATATTTTTGGTTGGTGGACTATTCTCAGTCCAGCAGTGACACAGGTGTTTAAAAACTCCAGCAGCACTGCTGTGTCTGATCCACTCGCACCAGCACAACACACACTAACACACCACCACCACGTCAGTGTTACTGCAGTGCTGAGAATGATCCACCACCCATAGTACCTGCTCTGTGGGGGTCCATGGGGGTCCTGACCATTGAAGAACAGGGTAACAAAGTATGCAGAGAAACAGATGGACTACAGTCTGTAACTGTAGAACTACAGGTGCTCCTATGTGGTCAGTGGAGCTGATTAAATGGACAGTGAGTGTAGAAACAAGATGTAATCATATAACGCGCTCAGGGCTGTGGCAGCAATCCATGCTTGTCCATTAAATATGATAAAATACTCATTAATAAGTACATTACAGGCTAGTTTCTGTTTGCTTGGTAGCCTTTAAATCCAACTTTGCACTGTATCCATCAATCAGTGTAGAGAGGGTGGGGGGGAAAGGGTAATCGATGCCCACCGCCAGGCCGGTCAATGTTTAATTAAACACGGGCCATTTGCCACCCCAATCAGCCATTAGGTTATGTCACAGATGCCACACGGTCACTTCATCATAGCTGTAACAACACTTTCATATGCCGAAACACTCAAAACGCCTCTGTAATTGTAGAGCGGGAAAACGGGCGACAGGTCAAAGTGGGGCAACTGTAGAGTCGGAATTCAGTTCTATGAATCGGGTTGGAGCTGCTCCAGCTGTATCTGACCCTGATCCACTTTTACAAGGAAACCAGCTACATGCTCTATTAGCTCAGAGCACACAGCAGGCCAGCTGCTCTCAGAGCTGAGGACAGACGCCTGGAGGGTTCTTTCAGAGGTCTTACCCAATCCAGAACCAGAATCAGATACACTTAAAAAGATGGTTCTTCAAGGGTTCTTCAGTAGAAGGAATGGTTCTCTTTAAAACTATGAGTTCCATATAGCACAATTTCATGTTTATATGGTTCTTCAGCTTGATGGAGGACGTGCTGTATATGGTTCTATACAGCACCAAAAAAGGTTATTTTTCAAAAACGACAAAAAAGTCTCCAGCAATCGGAAAAACAATTTCACCATGCAAAGAACCATTTAAGCATGAAATGGTTTCTCTGTAGAACTCACGTAAGTAATTATTAAAAACAAACCAAAACAATGACATCCACAGGTCCTGAAAGACCAGGATTCGTGTTTGTCAGCCCCCATTGTGGAGAATCTGACCTGACCTGCACTTTTTGTTTTCTAGCTCCAACACATTGTTCATTAAAGGTATGGACTCGAGTCATGAATTTGATGAATTCAGACTAATTAATTTAAAATTTAAAAGAAAAAGACTTTTACATTAATGACCTGGACCTGGGCCTCACGACTTGAGACCCTTTACAACCCATAAAAAGCAAGACATTTGCAGAGGCATCGTCTACTTGTACTAATATAATATTACAACAGGATAATACAGTAAATTAATGTGCTGTCTAATCATGAAGGACTGCATTTTTCATTATTATAGCAGTATTTACTGTAGAGACCGTCACTGCTTTTGTTTATCCCATTACCACTGCTAATGCTGATAATGCTGATTTCCACTAGCGGGACTTTCAGCAGGGATGGCCACAGGTTCTTTTTTAACACTATACCAAATCAGTCGATACTGATACTTTTAAGCTTTTCATGTGTGTAAAAACAGGAACTCTTTGTGATTCCTACAGCGAAAAGGAACAAACATGCACATTAAACGCTTATTAAGGCCTTTGCATTAGTACTAAACTGACACATATGTGACTGTGCTCAGAGAGAAGCAGGAGAGAGAAGACAAGGTCGTTTGTGTCTTATACATTTATTTATTAATTTAACTTTTTATTGCCTAAAGAAAACACTAAGTATTAATATTTTATTGTTTGGGTTGATTCTCAAGATATTAGGGTGGAAAGTATTGATACTTCAGTATCGATCCACCCATGCTTCGCCTGCGAACACTGGGTTTAACTACTTCAGTTCTGGCTGCAACACTGTATTTGATATTTGCAAGACATGTCCGTGATGCATATTTTACTTTTTATGCTGCATATTTTCAGTGAAATAAACACCTGTGACACGAGTGTGTTTACACGCACTCAATAATCCAATAACTGCAGAAAATGAGATTTTGTCAGTAATCCGATCAATGCACTTACATGTACTTGAATAATCAGATAATGTGAAACTCCAGGTCTACATGAGTCAGACAGTAATCATATTTCTGCTTTGGAACCAGCCAATAAACTCTCAGAATAAGACGTGATGTAAACATAACGTAAAACTCCATACCACAGCTTTTTTTTTTTTTTACTGAAAATATGAACATACATCTTCTAGAAGATGAAGAATATTTAAATCCTTCGTGTTTGGTTTCAGCTCTGACAGTGTTTTGCTGCGTCTCACAACATCCACCATCTGATCTCACGCATGCACAGACTGAGAAATCCGACCGAAATTAGAGCAAGAGTTTACATGCACTGAGAAATCTGATGACTGAGCTAAATCTAGCCTCTTTATCTGATTTCTAGATCGTACTGTGCTGTTTACATGACCATTTGAATAATCGGATAACTGCAGAAATCTGATTATGATCAGATTATTGAGTGCATGGAGGATACACACTCAATGCTACTAACTAAAGAGCTGTAGGTAATGAATAATAGGCATGGACGCAATTATTCACATGTTCAGATATCCAAACTTGTCTGATTTTGTGTAATCGGGTATTCAAATAAAGCAGGAGTGTCCAGTCTTTGGCCAGTGAGGCTGCAGGTAGTGATGTTATGCCTGAGCAGGTCAGGCACTTTTATGGAGAAGCAACCAATTTCTGAAGCCCCTCTGTAGGCAACTAATGCAGCCCCCATATATGTACCCCACAAACATTTCATAACCTGGTAACCGGTGGACGGAACATATGGACGTTCTACCCAGTGTCCACACTTCCAGAATGGGTTCAGCTGAGCTGAGGGTCAATATAAAGTCGTGACAGCCCACAAATATTTTTAAGGCTCTTCCACAATAAAAAAATACCTAAATTCTCGTTTTAAATCTCCATTTACATGCACACTTATTTGTCCTACAGCAGTTTAGCCTCACCCTTTCACACTGAAGTTATAAGGAGCATTTTCTAATTTCTTGCTGTTTTTTTTAAATGAGGCACAGCACAAATCAGCCAACTAGAGCAGAAGGTATTTATAGCCATCTTAAAGGCCCAGTAACAAACAGCCTGCTTAAAGGATAAAGAAAGGCTGATGAAGTCATGTAAAAATGAATTAACACTTTTTGGTGCACAGGACCACACAAGGGTCACAAACAGACCTCAGGAGGAAACAATGAAACCCAAGGAAAAACGTATGGGCCCTTCCAGTTTGCCTGCGGTCGCAGGCTTTTGTAAAGTGTTAACGCTGACGCTGAAGACTGAGTGAAAGTCTACCAAAGAACTCCAAATGACGGCACATCCGAGATATTTGACCAAAACACTTTATTAACTCAGACTGTGTTGTGTGAGGTGGGTGTTTATGTGCTCTTGGTGGTCCTGGAGCGCTTCTTCACCACCACAGGCTTCTGACTCCTCAGGATAGCACTGGCACGCCTCAGAGCCGCCTGATGGGGAGAAAAAGAGAGGTGTTTAAGAGGCGTGACAGGGTGAAAAAGCCTAATTTGTTAGCTGATAAAAGCATAGAAAAGCCTTTGTTCCCCCTCCAATATCAAGCATAGTTCAAAATAAACTAGGCCTTTGAGACTGCATGTAGATCAGCAGGGAACAGACTAAAATCTGCATCGCAAGTACCAGAGTAACTACTCACCATGCTGAGGTCCTTCCTGTAATTGTTTTTGCGGATGATGTTCCTCAGGCGGTTGAGTGTGGTGCGCGAGTTCTTGTTGATTGTGATCTTCTCGTATGACTTGACAGGTTTACGCTGACCTGAAACACAGTTTGCATTGGATTAAAAGGGGGGAAAATAGCCAATCAAAAACTATAAATACAATCGTGTTCAACATTCCTCATACTAGGTTGCAGTACATAAAGTTAAACAGGACTAATTAAGCTCTGTGCAATGAAACATGCAGCTGGGAACCGTTTTTCAGATCAGCAAACTGAGACATGACTTAAATTATCATAACGATAAACATTGTGATACTGCTCTGCTTTACCTACAGCTATCTTGAACTCTTCTGAGAGAAGTGTATCCACCTAGAAATTCTAGACTACAACCATGAGTCCAGTAGCAACTACATTACAAATGCAAAGACACAGTGGTAACAGGGCAGGGGTTGACACTGACCATTGTCCTGTGCCCCAGGCTGCAAGTCCCATTTTGGCCAACAAAAAAAATTAAGCCTGGTGCCCTAGTGATCATTTGCCTTGGTGATATTAAAACAAAATCACCAGACAGATGTGAATTTCCACACTTTCACAAATACTCACTCTACTGAAGGCATCAACTAAGAGTTGCATCAACTAAGAGCTCCACAACAAAATCTGCATCAAACCAGACTTTGTTGGAATTCGCCAACATTAACATTATCAGCGATCGCCAATGTGACAGCAAGTGACTACTTTCTAGACGTCCGAGCATTTCATCATAGCCTGCCACGATCAGCACTGAGTGGATGAAAGAGTGTGTGACTATTTTAGGAAGAACGTAATGCCTGTGTTCAATACAGGTACACCACAAGTTCATTCTTTCCCAAGAGTGTCTAGAAAACAATTCAGCATTTTTCATCAGAAGCGCTGCCATCTTTGGCGATAGAATAAACAAGGCCAATTAACCTCAGCCTGACAAAGATGGAGGTGGGTGAGCAGGACCAAATGAACACTCTAGCTCAAAGCTATACTGCCAAAAGTGATTATCCACTCATCAGTCCCCGGGTATAATGATGGGACACCGCTGAATGACATGCATTCCAACGACGCAGCTTCACCAAGCTGAGTATAACATGAATAAAAAGTTACCTAAAACTTTATTACATTTCAATAATGATCAAACTATTCATTTTGGCCACAAACTTCATTGGCTTGGAGGCTCCAGTGTAAATTTTATATATCCATCTACCCCAGTATATGATCAGATTACTTGATTACTCACCTAAAATGTATGTTTTAGTTCATTTTTACCCCAAAATTCATTTTGCCTTCCTTCATAGCAACCTTTACCACCGGCGCTCATCAACTTTAATTCTAAGGAGCCTACAAACGTCTTTTGTGCGCCTTTCTGGCTGCAACACACTGAGAAAAGGACTTTTTCACTGGCAGCCAAATACACCCATGGCTCATTAAACAGTGCCTGTATCTTCACTAGACAATCAGCAGAAGGTATTTATTTTGGAACACAGACTGGTAGAACAGCTGAATTTGGACAATAAGCCATTTGAAAGTGACCATTTAGAATTTAAAACGAAAAACCCACAACACACAGAGCCTGAAACACTATGCATTAAGACAAGTTACAGGACAGTGTACGGTACCTGCACGTTTCTTCAGGATGACAACTACACCCTTTGCCATCAGCAGCCTGCTCAACACCGACTGTCTTGCGGTGAACAAGACCGTTGAAACGGAAAGCATTCCTGGCCTTCAGGTTGTTTGGCTCCTGAAAGAGACACACATGCAATTAAGGATAAAAACAAATTCACCACCAAATTCAGACAATTTCACAATGTTTACAAAATTTCTGTTCTGTCTGGATTTGCTATAAAACAAACCATTACTATAGCTATTTGACTAAGGCTACATCACTGCGCACAAGGCAGCAAAACTCTTACCAGCTTCGCCAGCAATAGTTAAGGTCAAAATGAGACTAGTTTTAATGCCAGATTGAGTTTTATGCACTCCTTAATATAAACAAATTACAAGGTATTTTTGGGGAGCTACTTAGCTCAATCAAACAGCAGAGAATGTCATTTGGAAACTCAAAATACACTTAAGGCTACAGTGACAAGAAACTGTAAGGAAGTCCTTTCTGAACACAATATTACTTTAGACAAAAGGAGCCCCAGCTCTTTTTTCTGGAGCTCCAGGGTCCAGCAGAAATGGGTGTTTTAGACCAGGAAAATCAACCAAATCCAGCCTTCCAGGACCCAAGATGATCATCCCTGCTTTAGTCTAGCCCAGGTGTTCCCAATTTCAGCCCTGGCAACCCAATGCTGTGCACATTTGGGTTTACACACCTGATCCAACTCATTAGGGGTTGTTATTTAGTTACTGGGCTCAATTAGGGGTGCTATTACAAAGAAAAAAGTATGGGACTGGGTTTAGAAACCCCTGGTCTAGCCAAAATGACCACCAGCAAACCCAGCAGGCAGCACTCAGACAGACTGGTCAATGAGTTGAAGCAAAGCTGAACAGGCTTTGGCACTTACGGTGCTGTAGGTCTGTCCGTTCCTCTTGATGAGGAAACTGGAGTTGTTTCTGATCACCATCCACTGCAGGTGAGACGACATGATGGCGTTCCTGTAGGAGACAAAGAAGAACAGCTCGATTAACAGTCACACAGAAGATCCGCAGAGCTCTCTACTCTAGACTTAAGGGTCAGGTTCGTAGATACAGACTAAACCTAGTCTCGCAATGTCACCATCACCATTTTAAAAAAATAAATAAATAAATAAAACCCTGACACAATCCTAACCAAAACTATTTAGAGCCCAGCCTTCGCCAGGCATGCTCAGCTGAAGAACACGTCCAATAGTCCGCAGACAGCTGCTCATCCGACATTTTTTACTCATCTCTCACACTGCTGTGAGGATTTGATTGCATTTAACCACAAAGGCATTATTAGCCAGGTAAAAGCAAAGGAGCTGTATTCAGTAATTAAAAGGGATGTCTGAATACTTTTGGACATGTGGTGCATCTACACACCTGAAATAGATGACTCTTCAGTAAATGGTTCCATTTAGAAACCATGAGTTCTATATAAATGGTTCTCTGCATGGTGAAATGGTTCTTTAGATTGATGGAGTTTATAGTTCTATATAGAACCTTTTTGAAAATGCTCTGTAACTAATACGATGTCAAACTCATATACAGGAGCAGAACTATTTTCAAAAATGTGCCACACAGAACCATACACAACCCATTTTCCATAAATCTGACGAACCATCTTGCTGAAGTGTGTAAACTGAAGTTACCTCCGGCCACAACCGGCCATTTACACCGCATGTCAAGGCACCATGAACTACCAGGTGCCCAAATTCAGCCACACCATCAGCAGAACTCGAACACAGCCTTTATTTCTCCACTAACGGCCGCAGAAACCTTAATGTTTGTGATCGTATTTATAAGGGTAAACATATATTAGCCGTTAGCATTTCGTGGCTAACCGCTACTGAGACACCGAGCCGAGGCCTCGCAAACATCACGGAGTCATTTCGGTGAGAAATATGTCACCAAACTAAGTCATAACACCATTTCCACACCTCGGACAACATCTGCAACTCACTTTGCGAACACATACACAGTTTGTGATCAACTTGGCGCTAAAAATCGCCTTTTTTAAAGCGTATTAGGCGCAACACCAGACCGACCACGTTACCTTCTCAGCGGAGGAAGAGAGAGAGAAAGGAAGGAGTAGCGCGTCACAGGACGACTTTATAGATCACTGCGCCTGAAAGAGAAGTAAAAACGAGCGCATGTCGCCTGTTGTTAAGACTCTAAAAAGTGGGTGAAGTTTATATTTGACGGTTATTTGCGCTTGGCTGTGTAGAGATGCAGTAAGAAACGAAAAAGACAGTTTAAATATAGGAACTATATGTGTGGAGGTCGGTTGCGGAAGGATATTGCGATGTCAGTTGTTTGCGACAAGGGTTGTCTACGTCAGAGGCGCGCGTTCACCACAACAAGTAGTAGCGTTAGCGGTTAGCACGGCGGTGTTTTACTGATTTATTATGGTCTTTTATTGTGATATTTTAAGATTTTCCGCTTGTATAGTGAAGTAGATGTTGTACTCGTTATCGCTCTGTCGTGTTACAGTGTAATTAACTGTAATAGTGTTTTTTTGCGGTGGTTCGCTTTAATTTTCTGGCAGTGTTTATAGCGTTACTGGGTTGCGCCGTTTAAGCGTAAGTTCGTGCGTAGATTTACGTTACGTAAGCGCTCTTTTGACGTTACTTCGTTTCGCACTATCATTTTACTGAATTCGGTTGCCGTAAATAAAGTCTTAGTTGCTAAAAAATCGAGTGTATTCGCTTTTAACCAGAGGTAAACTTTAACTAGTTATTGCTAACAAGCTACACGGGAAACACTGAAGTCTCTATGCACTGATATTCTGTGGAAAACAGGGCCTGCCAGCACTGCTGCTCGATAATAGCAAAAAATGATAATCGCGATTATTTTGGTCAGTATTGAGATCACGATTGTTTAACGCGATATCGCATTGACTTATTTATTGAAATAAAAAAAAACTTTTTTCCATGAACTTTAAATGTAATTCAACCGAAAAATCACATCGAAAAAGAAATATTAAAAAAGATATATAAACATTTAAATAATATAAAAATAATGTCAACCATGTTATAGGGCTCTTCCACAACCTACGAAAAACTACCAAACATATGTAAAAATAATAAACAAAAATAAAGTAGACCAAAATAAATTAGATGAATTTTGGCTTTTTGGGAGGGGTGAATTCACGGCATTGTAAAGGAAAGAGGCGTGCCGGATTTGTGAGACAAAACAAGGCGAAACGGCACAACAATCGTCTCCAATATGTTTTTATAGTTGTTGGAAGCCAAAATTGTAATTGAAAATAAAATTAAATTAATCACCCAGCCCTCCTTTCCAGTTCAGCGTTTTAAACAGAATTGAAGAAACCTGAATACCTGTAGCATTGTTTTTAAATTCACTTTGAAATTCCTGAAAGTGCACCATTTTTTTTCCTAACTATTCCTACTGTTAGAAGCAACATGTTTGCAGAAGTGGAGCTGAAAGTTATACAAGAACCGAAGGTAGCTACTATTTTTTAACGTATAAATACATATGGCAACTCGTTTATATTAGTAATGCGTAAAATGTAGCGTGTTATAGCCTTTTCTTGACCTACAGTGTAGCTGGTGACGTAGTATGAGGCTGCTTGATTTGCGATGAGCTCGGAGTGACAGAGCAGCCACATCTTAACGTCTTGGTGATGGACGACGAAGAGGATCTGGAGTCACTTGGGGAGAAGCTGTATGATCTGATCTATCCCAAACATGCAGATATGGCTCCAAAACTAACAGGTGAAGCCTTTTCGATGAAGCTAAAGCAGAGCTTGCATCTCATAGATGTTATCAATTCATCACCTTTCTGATAAACGTTAATCAGGTCTGTCGTTTATGTGGAAGTTTGTGCAGTTTAATACACTGATATGTCATGAATCAGCAGGCAGAGGTCTTCAGTATCTTTAATGGATACTACGTGCAGATCTTAATGTTATACTGTGCTCAGAAATAGTCTTAAGACACTGTATGTCTGGTTTATTTGTTACTTTCCAAGCTAAAGACATATTAATTGGTGTCCATCAGAAAAATGACAAACAGGTTTACTGACTGAAACTGAAAATGCTCCCAATAATGAACTGAAAAGGCAAGTAAAGTTAGTGAGACACACATTAGTGTCTCTTTCCTTTATATAGGTCAGTATTTAGTTGATTTAGATTAGTATTTTGTTGCATATTTCATCTGAGGCCAAACCAAGTTGGTTGGGTTTTCTCATTTTGATGACCAGAGCATGACTGACATTCACGTTATATTTATTCCTTTGATTATGAGTGCTTCTTATCTAGATTACAATTGTATTCAACTTACAGAGAGCTTTCCAGAAGAAGCTCTGGTTTGAAGATCTCTGTTTTATACATGCAAACCCTCTATTGAGCGATGTTGCCTCAGGGCAACAAACAAATTTTCCTCACTCTACAATAACATTATACATATTTAAAGACAACAATAGGGTTAATAATAAATGGAGTTTGAGTAAGCCAATAAAAAGCATGTACATACTATGTCATACTATCTCTTATTGGGCACATTTAAACTTCTTTTTTAATGTTCAGTATAATTTTTTTTTGTTATGAGAATTTTCAGAAATATATTTGTTGCCTAGAAGCGACAGTGGAATGGATTTAGCCAGTAACAAGCCACTGCACCACTTCAGGGAACGCGGCTCTGAATCATTTCGTCCCATTGTCGCTCAACGTTGCCTCAAGGCAGCATACTCCAAAAGGACCCCTGCACACATTACTATTATTTTTTAATGTTTTTGAATTTAATAATCAGGCCCAAAAATACATCAAGGATCACTTTATGCAAGCAAAGTGAACATTTTTTTTTATTTAATTGCTCTCATAATGCGTGCGATAGAGGCTTAATTAGTGTCCCAGTGTTTCATTAGAAGTGGAATAGAGGGTTTGATAAAAGCCTTCTAGTTTGCTATTTTTCAGTTGGATCTGAAGTATTGTTGATAAGTTGTATTATTACTCAAACAGTGAACTTCTGAATATGGTAAAGCACCATTTCCACAATACATTAACAAGACTGCGCCCTTAAAAGATGATTCTTCAAGGGTCCTTTTGTAAAAGGAATGGTTCTGTATAGAACCATCTTGAAAGAGGCCCTGAATATTCTGCTGTAACTCCCGTTAAGGTGAAGCAATCAAAACCAAAAATACACTACATACCTTAATGTGTGTGTAATCGATTGCATCCACAAGTTGAAATCTTTTTTTCTACAGTTTGCCTTTGAGCACTTTATGTATAATGAGCTGTACTGAAGTACAGTGAGCAATTCAGTATGGAGATTTCTGATTGGCTGAGTGCCCCATGTTGTGTTTGGTGGCAGGAATGCTGCTCGAGTTGCCAGGAGCTGTGATTGGTCAGATGCTGCAGGATGAAGCGCTCCTTACCAAAGCACTGGACAGAGCACTTGCAGCCTTGCAACCTGACGGCAGGTAATACATGCACACAGCTGCACATGAGCCTGAGGTTACCAGGCTTAATGCCAAGCGTGGGCTAGAAGGGTACAAAGCCCCCCAGCATTGAGCTGTGGAGCTTAACTGTGTTCTCTGGAGTGATGGAGCTCCATCCAGTACCTTTGGGATGAGTTGGAGTTCCAGAACTGTCTAACATCAGTACCTGACCTCACTAATGGTCAATCAAATCCTCACAGCAATGTTCCAACATATAGTGCAAAGCCTTCCCAGAAGAATAGACGCTGTTACTGCAGCACAAACTCCATATTAATATCCTTCTTTACAGAAAATTTGCAAACTTTTGAACTTACAGTACATTTAGAACAATAATGTATAATATTATATTGTATATATAATAATATTAATACATAACAGTATATAACAATGATATTAATACACTGTTGATTTTTTCTATATTTTGATTTCTCAGCAAACCGCCGCCAACAAAGTCTGATGATGCAGACTCCGTCTCCTCCGACTCTCTGGGTGAACAGCTGTACGATCTCATTGACCTCTTCAACACTGGACACACTCAGAAAATAACAGGTCACCAGTCCGTCCATCCATCTGCACCTCCTACGTTTCTGACCGTTCATTCATTCATCGTATAAACATGTTGCAGAAAGCCCTTTTTAAATCTGCTTTATATCTGTGTCCTGTTGCCGTGGATACTCTGCAGGTATGCTATTGGAGCAGAGAAAGGAGGCGGTGCTTCAGCTGCTGTCAGACCCCACCCTGCTGGAGGAGAAGGTCAAAACGGCCCTAAAAATTTTAGAAGAGTGAGTCTGGGTGTGAGTGAAAGTGACTAAGTGTCTGGGTGGGAAAGAAGTAGTTCACAATACACAGTATGTATCAGCATATTTAGACCAGTAGTGCCACATTAAAGAGTAACTATGAGTATGATATTGTTTTACATTTCGCAGACCGCACTGGCATAAATCTAATTTAACAGGACCAGTTATGCTGGTCTTTGTAATGAAGCTTGCAGTTGGTCAGTGTTCTTTAAAGTGCACATACTTTTAAATTTTTTGTGTTTAATTTTTTCCCCTGAGGTCCTTTTACATTATCTGTGTTGATTTACATACCAAAAACAGTCATCATTCATTTTTACATGACCACTTTCCTTTTTAACTGTGCTTTTAAGGCTGATTTATATGTAAATAAGCTTTGTTCTGATTGGCAGTGCCCCATTAAAAAAACAGTTTGAGCTGAAACACTCCTTATAACTTCAGTGTGAGTCGGCAGAGCTAAACTGCTGTAGGCTGAATAGGTGGATATATGAAAATGTGTTTGTTTTTGTGACCTCACAAAAACAGTGAATTCAAAATGAGCTGTTTTTGCAGCTTAGTTTACGTATATGGGCTGTATGTAGTGGGAAGTGGGTAGTGGGAAGTCTCCATGATTAGGGCCTTTTAAGCACTGACGAAACCCATGATGTGCTTAGCAAAGCAAACTGTGACGTAATTAATCACTATAAAGATCAACACCATCATACTGTCAAGTTCAACCCTAAAAAACAGTTGTCAGTGTTTTGACCCCCTGCGTTCGCAGTATGTCTGGCTGTGGGCAGAGCCAGGGGGAGACTGACGTGAGCGACAGCTTGGGCAAAGATGAAGTAGAAGCTATCGGAGAGACGCTTTTCGGACTCGTGCAGGACATAGAGCCCGCCCACTGTGCTGACATCACAGGTGAGCCTGTCCTACATGTGCGGTAAGCTTCATGTATGTGTATCATTTATTTCTTTGTGTGTTTGTTAATGCTTTAGTGATGCATCTGCTGTTACACGTAGTAAATGGTTTTGTAAAGTATATTGTGTTTGAATATGAGAGTATAATGTATGGTGTGTGTTTAGGGATGCTGCTAGAAATGGACTCTTCGACTCTGCAAAAGATCCTGTCTGATCGGGCCATGCTGGAGGTCGCAGTTCAGCGGGCAAAGAATGCTCTGGTACACAGGCACACATGCACTCACTCACATATACACTTAGGTCCAAAAGTGTCCCGATGCCCTTTTTAAACAGTGAATTTAGCTGCTTGTATTTAATTTTTTCCACTTTTGGAAATGTATAGTTTGTATAGTTTTATATACCAAAAAGGTTGCTTTTAGTTATTTTTACATGAGTATTTTCCTCCCTTCTTTTTATGCCTTAGAATATTTTTGTTACTCTGCCTTTAACCCTGTATTGACTCAGAGCAACTCATTTTCCTTACTTTACAATAACATTATACATATGTAAAGACAACAGTAAGGTTAACAATGAAGGGATGAGTTTGAGTAAGTCAATAAAAAGCATGTACTTTGTCATAGCATCTCTTAGTGGGCACATTTAAACCTCTTTTTTAACATTCGTCTCTATATCATTTTTTTCCATTGTTGCACAATGTTGCCTCGAGGCAACATACTCCAAAAGGATCCCTGCACACATTATTATAATTTTTTTTCATGTTTTTGAAGTTAATAATCAGGTCTGAAAATATAAATCAAGGACCATTTATGCAAGAAAGTAATATTTTTTTAATTTGCTCTCAAAATGCAGTAGAGGGTTAAAGGGCCATTCCACCGAGAAACTCAGTCAGAATTGTTCACAGTGGTGGTGATAGGAACCAGACGTCCACCTCTAAAAGCTCCCTCACAGAAAGTTACTACATGAAATGGTTATAATTACACTATGGTCTGAGATATTGTTTACAATATATATGATACGTACGATATTTGTTCTGTAAGGATTTGGCCTAAAACATGTTTAAAAATACATTCATGGCAGAGAGATACATGTATGGTGTTGTGAGCCAAACTAGTCTCCAAAGAGAACTTCTAAAGTATAAAACTCAGAAGACGCATGTAGGACCCAGAACTGATCATCCAACATCAGTACCTGACACCACTAATGCTTTTGTGGCTGAATGCAATCATATCCTCACAGCAATGTTTCAACATCTAGTGTAAAGCCTTCCCAGAAAGGTAGAGGCTGTTGCTGCAGCAAAGGGGGACAAACTCCCTGTTAATGCGCTTCATTTCAGATGAAAAAAATGGAGGAGCAGGTGTCTACAAATTTTTGAACATATAATATCCGTCCATGAAGGGCTTTCAGCTTTGAACGAAGTCTTGGTTTGGATTCAGATAACTCACTATAAAAGTACTAAACCTCTATACAGAGTCTGATCCTGGGAGCAGGACTATTGTACTCATAGATGAATTTCTTCATGACTATGATGTGGAGTAATTAACTGTTTTTCCCCTTTTTGTCCACAGGAGGGCGCCTTGAGTTGAACACAGCTGGAGAGCAGGTGAAGACCAAGTGGAAAATGAAAAGGCAGAACTGCCTTTTCAACATGGACAGTTGGTTGTGTTTACATGTAATCAATAATCGGATTTCTGCAGTTATCTGATTATTCAAATGGTCATGTAAACACCATAATTCGAATTCTTAGATCGGAGTAAGGTCTAGAAATCCGATAAAGAGAGCTGGAATTGAGCTCAGTGATCAGATTTCTCAGTGCATGTGAACTCTGATTTCTTTCAGATTTCTGAGTTTGTGAATGCGCGAGAACTAAACGATATGAAAATAAATAAGCAGCGTTGCAGCGAGACGAAGCAAAACACTTTTGGAGCGACACTGAAACCAAATACATGCTTGTCAAAATGAAGGATTTAAATATTCTTCATCTTCTAGATGACGCATTTTCATATTTTCAGGTAAAGTGGCTCGATGTAAAGTTGTAGCATGAATTTCGTGTTTTACGTTACGTTTACGTCCTCTGCGAGTTTATTGGCTGGTTGTAAAGCAGAAATCCGATTATTGTCTGACTCATGTAGACCTGGAGTTTCCCCATTATCTGATTACTCAAGTGCTCAACATGATCAGATTACTGACAAAATCTGATTCTTGCAGTTAACAGATTATTAAGTGCATGTAAACAGTTTCCCAATCCTGCTCCCTTAGTCATCTGAAATTTGTTTTTCCTGCTCTAATCCACCTAAATCAGCACATAAGCTTATTCCTGAAAACCTTTATAAGCTTCAAATAGGCATGTTAGAGTTCTTTTCTGTCTTAATGTATGGGGATGGTTGCATCAAAAGCATTCCCATGTTTACACCTATGCTGTTTAGTATATAGTGTCATAATTACCAGATCATAGCAAGGGGGGTCCTTGTTTATTTTGTTCCAGAATGATATTGTAAATACATTTTTTTGAAGAGTTTAGCAAACGTTTAGCTACATTCCTTTTAATAAACAGACTCAAATTTGCATGGTTTACATGTTTAAAAACTATTTACAGTGTTATAAACCATATATTATTCGCTGTTTTAACACTCAAATAAACGAAACCATTCAGCCTTTCAGTTCGCTTTCAAATGAGGAAGGAAATTAACATTCGGCACATCCTGCCAAGTGCTAAAGAGCTCAAAAATATCTTTATTTTCATCACTTTGTTTCTTGTCTTGTCAAGAGTTTTACAGTCAATTAAACACAATGAATAAGTCCAGGCTTCCTTCAGAGTAATCCATTGGAATTACTAAACAACTCACTTTTGCCATGGAATGAGACCAGCAACAGAGGGGGATTATGTGAAAAGCTGAAGTTTACGGCAAAGAAATAAAATCATGAAAATCATCTTTAAAAAAAAAATCACGAGAATTGACCAGAGAAAGCGGCAATACATGTACAATTGAGTTGGGATCGTATATAAATCATACAAATCTATGAAAATGTTTCTACAAGTGAAAAAAAAAAATCATGAATCCGAGTGAAGCAGAGCAGGGACAGGGGTTTAGCGCACGCAGACTACAGTTCATAAATATTCATTCTGATATACAGACTGTGGGGGTGATGATTAAAAAAAGCTTCATAAATGCTTCTCATTCCAACAGGAAGCTGTAATAAATACCTAAAATATTCCAACAACCCTCGCCTCACTATTACCACGCCAACAACGGGCCAGATGACCACACCTCGCCCGCACTGGTTGCCTCCCACCGGCACTCCCCTCTCTCTCTCTCTCTCTCTCTCACACAAGCACACATACTCGCTCGCTCTCACAAACACACAGGGCTGAAATGCAGTTACAATTAGGCAAACTAAACGAATCTAAACAATATTATTGCACTTAAATGTCACACTGTTCAGAGGGAAGAGCATTCCAATCAAGACACAGGGCAAACAAGAGTCAGAGGAAGAAGACGACAGAAGAAGAGTAGAGACGAGAGACGGGGCTAATGCGTCTCTTGAGGGCGATGGCTTGCCTGTATAGACCATCATACACTCGTAAAAGAAAAACATGGAATAAACTGGGATGATGACGGCGAACAAGATGAAGGTGGTGACCACTGGGAGGCCAGACGGTGGACCAGCGCTTCTGAGTCTGGATCGAAATTCATCCTTAAGTGTTGTAGAACCACAGCGATCCGTGTCTTTATTTCAGTGTGGGGTACTCCCGCTGCCCCAGTCGCCCAGGACGAGACCGAGCTGGAGGAGCAGACTGACAGAGACACAGTGTTAGACGGGACGCTGTGATTCGTCAGGACTGGTACGTTTTATACATCAGTATCTCCAATTCGTCACCAGCGAACTAACACTGATCAGTGTTTTAGCTTCCAGCCATGCAGTTTACATACTTATGTACTACTGGGGGCCGTCAAAGGATTACAACAATCACAGTTAATCACATTTTTCTGTAGTTTGTATTATAACCTATATAAATAAACTATCCTAATCTATCATGATTAATCACATTAGTTTGCAGTTGGTACTGTAAACTAATAAAAAGTAGTAATCAATCACATTTAACCACGGTCAGTATTATAAACAATATAATAGAAACTATAGTGGTCAATCACATTTAATCACACTATGCAACTATGATTACTATAGTTTATATTATGATCACATTTTGCAGTCAGTATTATGAACTATATAATATAAACTAGTAATCACATTTAATTATAATCAGTATTATAAACAATATAAACTATAGTAGTCAATCACATTTAATCACATGCAACTATGATAACTAGTTTATATTATCACATTTAATTACATTTTGCAGTCAGTATTATGAACTATATAATAAACTAGTAATCACATTTAATTACAATCAGTATTAAACAATATATAAGCTGATCAATCACATTATTTAGTCAGTACTATAAACTATAGTAGTAATAAATAGTAATTACATTTAATCACATTTTGCAACTACAATTACAAGTTTATATTATCACACTTAATCACATTATGTAGCCAGTATTATAAACTATATAACAAATTAGTCATCAATCACATTCAATCACATTTATTCAGTATTATAAACTACATAATATAAACTAGTCAATCACATTATTTTGTAGTCAGTATTATAAACTACATCATAAACTATAGTAGTCAGTGATTATTAATCACATTTTGTTGTTATTTTGTTTGTTGTTTTTTACTTAAACGTTTGATCACATTTGTCTTACTTGCTCAAATTTTATCTTAAAGATTTTGTTCATTTAAAAAATTGCTCAAAATGATGCGACTAATTGTGATTGTTTTACTCGTTTGGCAGCTCTAATAATTAAAGCACCTCTTACCTGTGCAAACTGAGAGGGATTATAAAAAGTCACGCCTCCTGTGGGTGGAGCTCCCTGGGCCGGTGGCTGTGTGGGGACCTACAAGAACACAGGCACGGTTACTATAGTGACCTTGACCAGCCACAACCTCTGACACTCACAGTGCCAATACAATATGTATAGTACATCTAGACAGCTGAAGGTGGCGCTAAGGAGACAGTAACTCTCCTACGTACAAATGAATGGTTTTTCAGCATCTTTAATCATCCTGTAAGATCGTTTCCCTAATATTTCTCTAAGAACACATTTCTGTATGAATTGTTTTATTGTTTCCACATAGAATGGATTTATGCTGATTTTGCAAAACAAGAAAATAAAAATTGGACATTTAAAAGAAAAATAAATACAGTACTTTGCAAAAGTCAGAGAGCACAATTTATTTAACCTCCAGTCAAAACAGCCATTAAGTACAAGATGTTCATTTACGGGAGATATTTCTGAGGAGATTAGATATAAAATAATCCACGTGCATAAACAAAGAGGTAAAAAAAAAAAGGAGAAAAAATTGCACAAGTTCAAAAAATTATTAAGAGCTAAAGAGAAAATGGGCCTCCTAACAACCACTTGGAAGACCTGGTAGACACCAAAACTGCCCCCATCAGATAAACAGCACTTAAAGCTTTCATCTCTGAGAGAGAGGAGAAAATCAAGCTGCTTCAGATCTGAAAACATCCACAGGTGTTTCTGTCCATCCTTCCACTGTGAGAAGACGACTCAGCGCTACTCCAGAAAATGATCAATCAACTTCTAAGACTGAACTTTGGAGGTGTGGAGAAATATAAACAACTTGTACTTAATGGCTGTTTGGGCTGCATATTAAACGAATGAAGGCTGGTCTCTGACTTTTGCACAGTACTGTATATGGCAACCCTGCAAATATTGGAAACATTAAAACAATTAATTTAGTGATCTTTACACAAAGAACCCTCAGCACTAACTGTATTAACTTCATTTGAATCAGACCAAATTGTCCTCCTTCACCCTCACTGTGAAGAACTCTGATATCCTGCCAATGAATGACAGATATGACTGATGTGTTTCTGGCTATCTAGATCTACTATACACATCACTGCCAACCACTGATGGTGATCATTAGCATGCAGAGAAGGAGTGGTTAGTGCAGACTCGCGTGATGAAAGGGCGGAGCAGGAAGTGCACGTCTTCAGCACTGCTCACTTTTCTACTGGCTCAGCTTTCAGCCAATCAGTGAGCTGGCTCAGGGCTGGTTGCTACAGGTGACAGTTTGAGGAGTCGTGCTGGAGGCGTGGTGAGAAGCGTGAGATGCAGAACGTGTGAGTGTGTGAGACTCCGCCCATTTCAATAACGGTTTTAACAAGCCCTCGTGCACTCAGCCTCGTCGTCTCCTCTCGGGGGATCCCCGGCGCCACCTTGAGGGCCAGTCAATTACTTTATCAGCGCAAGTGAAGTTTATTAGATGACCCCTTGGCCCCGAAATCAATGGTGGCCGAAGCTGTTTATAAGCTGTAGCAGTGAACTACTTTAAAAATGTTTAAAGGGAGAAGTGCACTGGTTTTTCAAAGGTTCTACATAATTTAATTGTTGATATAAACAATCATTCAGAATTTTCTAACATGAAATGGTTCATTGAAGAGATATAGACTCAGATTTCAAACCACCTTGGAAGCCACAACACTTTATATCCATTTCACCATCTTGGCTGCAAATATGTCTCAATATGTGTTAATGTACAAGTATAGGCTAAAAAAAATATACATGAAAATGTAGACTTGCTTAAGTTCAGCTGTTGCCACTTTTCTCGTATCTCTGGCAGGAAACTTTCGTAAAAGTGGAATAGTTTCTTGTAAAATGTCTCCCAACGTTTAACTTTTTGCGAGACTGAAGTCGATTCTCATTCGCCAGCTTCTTGTTCAAATTTTCCACCTTAAATGGTGCCTGAGGCGCCGGAATGTAAATGTTGCACCATTTAAGGAGGAACGGGAAAATTAGAACGAGAAGCTGGCAAATGAGAAACTGACTTCATCTTCGTGACTTTTTAGTGTTTGTCAGTTTCTCATTGCAGATTAAACGTATCAGGAAACCAGCTGGAGTGATCATAAACTCAAATAAGTTCATTCGTCTCCAAAATTTGTCTTAACTCTTAAATCTCTCTTTGCTGTTTTGTTAACTACTTTCTAGGTGAGATTGCTGTCTGTGTTGCTATGGTAACCAACGGTCTGCATGCCAGTCTTAAGGGTTAAAGGGTGAATTAGCAGTTCTACATTAACTCCAGAGTTTAAGACCATTTATTGTTAAACTGTGTTGAACGATCAGCAGAGCTTTATTTTACTGTGAAGGCGGATTATTTTATTTTTACCTACAAATCTAATTCTGCTGTGGAGCTGCATGTTGCCCACCCTGCTTTAGAGGGTTGGTGATAGGAACCAGGGGTCTCAAAGACTACAATGCCATTCTACTCATTATTCAAAACCACCAGTGACCTGTGTCTGAGTGTTTATATGTAGATGATGGCAAAATAGAGATAAATATGAAAAAACGACTTGGTTTTTTTACAGGTTTATAGACAGTCAAAGCAATTAATCACAAATTTAATGTATAATATGTTCAGAATTCTCAAAAAAAGGTTTTGGCCGAAGTGGCCGAGGGCATGTTAAAAAAAAGGACTGAAACGGGGCCAGTGAGAGAGAGAGAGAGAGAGAGAGAGCGAAAGAGAGAAAAAGAGAAAGAGAGAGAGTGTCTGTGTTCACATGTGACTGAAGGTACCTGGTTTAAATGCTGACTCACTTCTCGTGATAAAGAACTCATTGAGCTAGAACGTGAGAGCTAGAACAGCAGATTGACAGAAACAAACAAACAAAAAAAAACCCACCACAAATCAAAATTAATCACATGCAGATTGATCCAGCCCGTCAATCAAGACAAAGCCATTACATCAAAACCATCAATCTCCATGACATCTCGCTTTGTGAGTGTCTAATCAGTGTGTCACATGTGCTGTCACTCTCTCTCTCTCTCACACACACACACACACACACACACACACACACACACACACACACACACAGACACACACTTGAGAGCAGCAAAGGCTTCAAGAACAAACCTTTGCGACTAAGCAGGGAGTTAAGCCGGCAGAAAATGTTTTGAAGAAAAATTCCATCTTTTTGGGCAAAGTGAAGCGGAGGGTGTGAGTGTGTACGGTGCGCTGCTGTCAAAACAGAACTCCTAAATAGGAATATGCAACTAATTTCTGATCTTTGAGTATTTATACGGGCTAATTAACGAATACTCTGTTAACCGCAGGGAAGGGAAAACATTTGAAGCTGTTTTACAGCCCCCCGAAATGTATGACAGAAATGTGCAGACAGCGCATGTGAGCGGTGCAGGGCGATTTTGCCCACAGCGCAAAGCAGCTTTTCAGAAAGTAGGAGTGACCGTTCGCTCTCGCTCCAAAATCGTCCCAATACTGCACCATCCCACAAACCAGTCCTTTTTTCCCTATACTGAGTCACTACCGTGACTGTTACAGCTTTACCCTCCTCTGATATCCCTGCAGACTGGCAGGGTCGCCTACAGAGCAGCGCTGGTAGCTGTTAATGAAGTGATGCTCTTTTTATTTGAGGGTCCCATTTCAGAGGGAAGATTTCAACCACTACACTGTAGCTCAGTTCCAAGGGGCAAGGAGACACTCGAAAACAAGGGGTAGGGGTAAAAATAAGAACTGGGACTGGGCCTTAATCTCCTGCTGCCCATTTTTCTGAGAGAGTGAATGTTAAAGCATGTGTGTTTGTTTACTCTCTGCAGTTTTCTGGCTTGTGATTGGGCCACAGTTTCAAGCTTGTGCCTACCAAAAGAAAATAATATCTTGTGCACAAACTCAATAAATATCACAAGAATTAATCATAAGGAGCGGAATGATTACAGAACGCTTTGAAAGAGCAGCGTAAACGTCTGCGGTTCCACTCACATACTCTGGTGCACGGGTGCTCGGTTAACTGTTTGAGGTTCCAGTATTCAAATAGTAAATTCAATATTCGGGTATTCGTTATGCTTCACCATAAGACGACGTACACAAGTATATTTACGACAGCATGTTCAGCGGTAGTTCAGTTTTGCTTGGTTCCTTAAACTACTGTCTCCCAAGATATGTTCAGTGTGACGTACTTTGTGTGCGTGTGTGTGTGTGTGTGTGTGTGTGTGTGTGTGTGTGTGTGTGTATGCGTTCAGGCATGCATTTTAGAGGTCATGCTAACATATTACTGTTGTCATAGGTGAACATTGATATTTGTTTACATCTTGGGATGTGTGTAACTGTATTTTTTTTTTTTTAGCAAACAAATTAAACAGGCCTCCAGCAAAGTGTCAGAATCTAACAACAGTCTAACAGTGATTAAAAACCGTTTGTTTTCAGAGGGACAAAAGATTTATAATCTATATTAATAAAGTTTCATAACTAGGAATTTCTTTACATCAGGTTTGGAATAAACAACATCATGTTCGATATACAGAATCCGGCAATTAAAAAAAATTAATTAAAAAAAAAAAAGCTGAAAGTCCCTGTGAGCACGCTGACCCCATCAAGTAGACAAAGGTAGGTTTAAAATGGAAAGGAAAAAAAAAAAATTATTCCATTTAAAAATAAATAACACTAACTGCTAACTCTGTTACATCAGCGTTACAGAATCATCCTGTCCACCCAAAATGAGAGAGGACTACAGTAAGTTCTTGGACTCCTGCTTACGGATGGCTGTGGTATCACCAAGGATCAGAGTCTCAGGCTACGTTTACACAGCAGGTAAAAGTGGCCCAAATCTGATCTTTTTTCCCCAAATGCGACACAGATGTGTGTCTGTGTGTCAGTGTGAACAGATAAACACACTGAATCTAAAATTTTCAATTCCGATTTGAGGCGCAATAAGGCATAAACTAATTCTTGTATTAAGCACCTGGATTTTTTTTTTTAGATAAAGCCTTTTTCTGTTCAATGCTCCATATAATCACATAATGTTGATACAGAGAAAAGGTAGCAAATTCTGAAACTTTGTTTTTTTTTTTACAGAAAACTTCATTCAGTTATTTGTCCTTCATTTTCCTTTGAATATTGAAAAACATTTTAATTCGATATACTTAAATGAGCCCAGCTGAAAGCCTTAATGCAGTAAGTGCAAATATTTTGATCTGTGTGTATGTGCATGTGTGCTCATGAGGACAGAGCATGGCAGGATGAACTTCATTTAAAGTCTGTAAGTCATGAAGGAGTAAATGGTGACCTTACCTCTCCTGACTGAGTGCCCTCTGGACCCGGGGGCAAAAGTGTCGGATTAAACATCTGAAGAGAAGAAGAAAGAGTGAACACATGCGTACAAAACCATAATCACCTAGGCCTGGCACAATTATTGCACAACTGCCTAATCGCAGTTATTTGAGATGACGGCAGTCATTTAAGCTGACCGCAATCATTTTCCACAGTTGCTGAATTCCACAGTCATATTGTGCTGCAACAAACAAAACGTGAATGTGCTCCGTTGAGGCAAATGTAAATGAACGAAAGCAGTAAGTGCATTTACAATTGCAATTGAGACATTATGGGGCTTATAAAAACATAAAAGTTAAACAAAAAAAGTGTTAACTTGGTGCTCTAACATGTTTAGAGGGCAGTGCTGAGTAAAGTTTATTTGTTGGCACAGGGGTCGGCAACATGAGGCTCCGGAGCCGCATGCAGCTCTTTTACTGTCCTGTTGTGGCTCCACAGCAAAATTTTTTAAATAAAAATAAAAATAAAGCTCTGCTGATCGTTCAAACACAGTTTTAACAATAAATGGTCTTAAACTCTGGAGTTAATGTAGAACTGCTAATTCACCCCATTAACCCTGAAGATCAGCGCAGACTGCTGGTCATGTAAACAACAGTCTCATCTAGCTAGTAGCTAACGAAAAAGCACAGAGAAAGATTTAAGATGAACATCCATAATTTAGAGATGAATGGACTTATTTGTATTTATAATCACTCCAGCTGGTTTCCTGATACGTTTAATCTGCAACGAGAAACTGTCAAACACTAAAAAGTCAGCATTTTCCCTTTCCACCTTAAATGGTGCATCATTTACATTCTGGTGCCTCAAAACAAAAATAAAAAAATTCTAACATTCAGATACATTTTACAACAGACTGTTCTACTTTTGAGGAAAGGTTTCCTGCTGGAGATGCGAGAAAAGCAGCTATAACTGAGCTAAAGCTTAAAGCAGAGCAAAGTAAGTCTGCAATTTAGTTTATATCATATTTTTAGCCTGTACTAGCACATCAGCACATACTGATACATATTTTACAGCCAAGACTGTAAAATGAACATAAAATGTTGTGGCTCCTAAGACGGTTTGGTTTTTGTTAAAAGGACAAAATGGCTGCTCTTAACATTTGTGTCGCCGACCCCTGTGTTAGCATGTGTGCTTGCAGAATGAGTGCTTTTTATTAGTAAGGAAAATGTAGCTTTGCTTGAGTCTACACATAATTCTATGTAACTGTAGACATTAGTGTGAGTGTATTGATTCCACAGTACAAACAGTGTTAGCTATTAAGTGAAAAGAGCAAGCAAAAAAGCACTGTTAATTAATTTTCATACAAATAATTGTATTCATCAGCTAAAATTTTCCTATCGTGACAGCCCTATCCTCACCATCATGCTAGAGCAAAATCTGTGTGTTTGCACCTGTGGAACTGCAGCACTGGGCTGACTGTGTTCTGTGTTGGCTCCACTGCTGTCGGGAACACTTCCCTCCATCGGCTGCTGGTCATCTGGAGCTGAAGACACAAAAATGATACACAACACTATGGAAAGACCTTAACACTCTGAGCGCAATTAATTTGTGAAATTAAGTTGGCCGACAATCAATGAATTCAAGCATGTGTATAACTGATGATCTCTTTCACACTAAATGAAATAAGGCGACAAAAGTTTTGTTCACAATGTTTGCAAACTTTCCCTGGCAATGTGAACTCACCGACCAACCACTGTTGTCTCTGGTGTTGGCATGGCAACAACCAAGATGACAGATCGGCAGTGTCAGCAGCTAGAACACACACACACACACACACACTCCTACCTGCAGTGGGAACGAAGAGGTTGGCAGGCATTGCCATGGGTGCGAGAGGGGCGAACAGGTCAGCAGGAGGAGGAACTGCGGCAGCAGGTCTGGAATCTCCACGACCTGGATTCAACACATCTACATACCGAGCCTTAGTGCCTGAAACATATACAGACAGACGAAAGACACTGAGCACCACTGATACAAAGCTTGTGGAGAATCTTCAGCCTGCTAAATGTGACTGAGTGAGTGAGTTACAAGGTCCAGAGGGGTGATTCGCATCTAAAAAGATACTATGCTACATGCTAAAACTCTAAGGATTCAGCAGAAGCCAGATTTTCACTCCTTGTAATGTCCCACAGACTTTGTGTGTTTTGGTACTTTATGCTTGGAAATTGGCGCCACCTACTGGCAATGTTCTACATGTAGCTTAAGTAACGTGACTTGTACTTGGTTGATTATGTCATCAGTGTGAGTCTGGTTCGTGCAGTTATCAATGGAAGCATGGCTATCTTTCCTCTGTTTCATCTTCGGTATGTAAGAAGTTTCTTCCACTGTTTATTTCTCTCTGTTGACAAGCATTTGTGAAGTTTGTGTAGATTTAAAAGTGGATTCAGTAGACTGATTTACTGTCAGTCGCTCCTGTGCTTAACTATGCATATCCAGAATTCTCCCTTGCTAATCCATTTCGCTAATACCATTAACGTTTTTCTAATGACGTTATCATGTACAATGCTTGTGTTTCATATCTACTCAACCGCGTCATTAGTCATTTCAATTCTGTTGTACTCAGCTATGTTTCCAGACTTAAAATGTGGCAGAGAATCGTGTTGATTTTTTTCTTAGTTTTACCCTACTCGTGGAATCTCTTGTCGGTGTGGTTATTGGAGAGAAGTTTAGCTGCCTGTTGAGCTAAGCAAGGTGCTTCAGTTGAGGACAGGACACTCCTCATATCCCTTTAAGGCCCAAACAAAAAAGCTGATATTTCTGCCTTTTAATACTACTCAATGCTTTGGTCGCATTTTGAGAAGCAATCATACAACCACCTTTAAATATTTCTCTGGTTAAACAAATCAGTAATCACAGCGATGTGAACTGTGCTCTGAATGTGTGCGCACACATTTGCTCACAGTGCACCCAACAATAAAGACAGCGTGGAGCTTCTTTTCCATGGTAGCACACATAAAGCACGTAATGCCACACTGATCCATTACGGTATTTTACCAATACTCTGAGGGCAGATTTTAAGTCTCTGAATGAACCGCTGGTGAGACAGAGGTAAGAACAAGCCTTTAAACATATTGGTTTCTTATTATTTACAGAGCAATTCACTGAAGTTACTGGACATGACATCTAGAGTTTAAAGGGTCAAGAATGCAGCCTACATGCAGGTTATGTATGTGCTTCAGGTTTTGAATTCCAAAATGATACATGCAAAGTAGTTCTGAGCAACAGCATCTTAGTAACAGCTTGAAAATCTGTGCAAAACACATAACATGAGCTGCAAGAGATTCACCTGCTTTCCTCGAGAACATATTAACAGGCGGCCCTGCCCCCGGTGCACCCAGCGGTCCACCCGGCGGTCCACCCATTCCAGGCCCTGCTCCCAGACCACCCATTGGAGCTTTTGGAAACATTGAGGGAGGAGGGGGTGGTGGCTTATTCTGAAAGAAAAACACACATACCAAAATAAACAAATAAACAAACAAACAAAAAAAACTATTTCACACAAATGCAGTCAAAACAGCACATCCACATACACCTAATGCACTCACCTCCTCCTCTGGTTCATCCAGATTCACCCATCTCTGCTTTTTCTCATCCCAAACAATCTGAGATTAAAAGTAATATTATTACTATTGTCACTTTGCTGTTCCACATAAATGAAAAATCTGTTTACTGCAAAGAAAAAGCAGTGTGCAGAAACAAATGTTTAAAGGGGAATTTCTGTACAGTGACGTTGATAGGAACCAGGGGTCGCCATGACTACAACACAAATATAGCCATTTTATTTACTATCCAAAACCACCAGTGAACCTACACGAGTCTTGTAAATTTATGTATGGATTGTTGAAGGTAAAACAGGTAAATCTGAAAGAATGCTTTCTTTGGGGACTATTTTGCCTCAACACCCTGCAGGCACCCCTCCAACATAAAGAGGTTTTTTAAAAGATTTAGGCCACATTAAACAATGTCTCAGCAAATTTGTGACCATTTTCATTTACAGAAAAAGCTTTTTTTTATGTAGCTTTTAGAGGCATTTTTCTTTGGATGTCTGGTTCCTATCACCACCACTGTGAACAATTCTGTTGAATGGAGCAAGTTTCTGTAGAACGAAGCATTTCACTCCAAACCACTCTGATTGCCTCTGTTTACATCTTAAAGACTAAATTATGCAGATATTTATTTTATCTAGTAAAAGCTATGTGACTCCTACCGATTTGTTCTTGTCATCGGGAAGATGAACTTCATTCTTTCCTCTCCGATACAACCAGCTCAGGATGCCTCCACCTCCTCCCTAACAGAGGCAGAGAGAGTAAGTGCACACAGTTCTGAGCAATCATAAAGCAAGACGAGAAACTTGGGTGAGCAAATATATTCTGAGCAAAGATCAGAAATCAAACAGACAAACTTAAGAAGAAAACAGAGATTAGAAACAAAACATTTTTCATTTTGGTTCATTGTGAACAGAAACAGGGCTTTTTCTGCTCTAAAGTTCAGTGTCCTCTCTTCAGTCGGAACAGAAGAACAGTTAATAACCACCTTCTATATAGCTAGTATACTGTGCATATATTAAAATGACAAATGACCTGCATTTGTTCAGTATAGTCATATGCAAAAGTCTGAACACCTCAGGTCAACTGACGTTTTGTTTCATTTCTGGGTTAGATCAGTTACAGTTACCACATCATCTACAGAGAAAACACTTAAATATGACATTTTTCTGCAAACTTTAGGGCACAATTTCGATTCATTTGCTGAGTTTAACATACTGGAGAAGACTTTGATTTAAAAAACAAACAAACAAAAAAAAAAAGTGCCACCTTTCATGTGTTATGTTTCCCCACTACCTTAAATTCATCAAATAAACAGTAAGTATGCATTAAAAATGTGCAGAAGTGTATCCTCTGTGGAGTATGTGTTAACACTGTCGTTGACCAGTGCTTAAAATGTCAAACCAGAACACAATTCTAGCATTATCAACCAGTTAACTACGAGTCCTGTTTTCAGTTATGCTGTGTACTTAATATTATTTTTTATTTTGTCATTCCTCAATATCGCTTTCTAATTCTTTATGCTCTTAAATGCAACAATTTAGGTGGGTGTGACTGTGGGTGTACCTTTTTCGGCGATTCTTTCTTGGTTTTCTTGGGTGCCTCCTGGGGCGGAGCCTCTGGAATAGGGGGTGGAGGAGGAGAGCTCTGATTGGCTGCAGAGTTGCTCCGTTCTCGTCCAGTGGAATGAGTGGACGACTCTGACGTGGTGCGGGAGCGACGTCCTGGCATCTGAGCAAATGAGAGTCAAGGGTCCAGTCAGAGCAAACATACACTATAACCCAGCAAATCACACAGCAAGTATTCATAAACGTGTCTGAAGAGAACTCATATGTTAACTTATCTTCTCCAGAGAATACACTTAAATACAACATTTTTCTGCACATTTTAGTGCACAATTTCTAGTTATTCTAGTTATTTGATTAGTTTAACATGAGAAAAAACAAAATATAAAATCATATAAAAGATGTAAAATGTGAATTTTTCAAATTTTCTGCATTACTCAACAGTTAAGATGCAAACAGAGTCATTCAGAGCGGTTTGGTGTGAAACGCTCAGTTCTAGAGAAACTTAGAGTCAGAATTGTTCTCAGTGGTGGTGATAGGAACCAGACGTCCACCTCTAAAAGCTCCCTCACAGAAAGTTATTACATGAAATGGTTATGAACACAGAGCCTGGTGACTGAGACACTGTTTTACAATAGTCTTGAGAACATATCTCTTCTTTATTTTTTAAATAAAATGGCTGTATTTGTAATGTAGTCATGGCGACCCCTGGTTCCTATCACCACCACTGTGCCCTATCATACCAAACCACTCTGAATGACTGTTTATATCCGAAACACTGGATTATAAGAAATTATAAGAAGACTGCTGGAATTCCTCTTTAAAGTGTGTTCTCTGTACAGGATGTGCTACATTTACATTCAGAAAATCAACAAAATATAATTTTACAAGATTTCTGCATATGACTGTACATGTAATGAATGAGTGAGAGAGTGCTAAAGAGAGATTTACGTACCATGTGTGTTGAAGACTGAGAGGTGGTCCTGGATCTTCTTCCTGAACTCTGAATATAAATCAATGACATGCATCAGCAGACTTTGACAACAAAAGAACAACTCCTATTATTATAGTACTGAATAAATGTAAAGACCAAGATGTGGAGGTTGAAGATTCTCCACAAGGGGGCACTATGAGTTCCATAAGGGTGGTGCTTCCCATCAGTGACACTGCGTCCTTGTTAACTCACCATGTGGGCCATGTTGTCATAGAAGTCCATCTGAGGAGGGAGCCCGCGGGATGGGGGAGACGGCTGAGGCAGCTGAGGAGAGGGAGGTGTAGGTGTAGACTGTGCCCCAGGGATTTGGGGGGGCATTCCAAAGGGCATCTGAGGGTGCATCTGAGGGGCCATGTGAGGGGGCATTTCCGTAGGTGTGTAGAGGGGCATCTGTGGGTGCATGTTAGGGGACAGCGTAGGGCTCTGGGTTGGCATGGGTGAGTAAGGTTCCTGGTGTTCAGGCTGGAACTGTGGGGGGAAGCCAGGCTGGGCTGGAACAGGGGCTGCTGGGTAAAACGGAACACTCTCGCCAGGGGGAGGGGCATGATGCAGTGGGACAGCCCCATCTTGCAAAATGGTTACTGGAGCTGGAACAGAGACAACCATATGTGGACACGGTTAGAGAACAGAAGAATCAGCAGAGGAGGTGAGATATGGAGACTAAAACATCTCACACTTGTATGTCAGCTTATATTTATTTACAGATGTTCAAGCAAAAAAAAAAAAACAGTAAATTAATTAAGCACATACCACAGTCATATGCCGGTCAAATTACATGACCCCAAGTGAAAAGAAGCACATGTCCTCTACAGTTCTGGACATTTTAATGCACAATTACTGTTTATTCACTGCGTTTAACATATTAGATAAAACATATTAACTTAAAAAAAAATGTGGTCTATGCAAAAGTTATGGCACATTTTATGTTTGTAACATATAAACAGAAATTGTGCACTAAAAACAGAAAAATGCCACATTTAAGTGATCACAAGTGTTCAAATGTTTGGGTATAATAATACAATCCCATAATACAACACAATAGTATACATGTATACTATAATATATATTTTTCACAATACCAAAATTTTCAGTTTCAACATTTGATATGTTGTCATCGTATGATTTTCAGTTAAATATAGGGTTTCAATGATTTGCACATCACTACATTCTGTTTTTATTTACATTTTGCACAACATCCCAATTTTGGGGGGGGTTTACACATGGTATTCAAGTTTAAACTCTGAGAAAGTGTCAGGTTTGTTGCCTAGGAGTATTTCACAAAGCAGGGATTTTAAGTAAAGCTGGAATCCTTAAGTGAGGTTTGTCCCATGTAAATGTTCCTGTTGGACTCTGGAGTGACTTCTAGCTAAGTGAGAAATACTGCTTTGCAAAACAGCCTCCTTATGTTTACATATACAGAAATACAAGCAGTCAGAGCTGCACAGCATCACACACCTGGTGGCATGAGCTGTACCCCCGGCGTTGGTGGGCCTGGCTGTGGCATTAGGGAGGTCATGAGGGGGTTATGAGGATCGGCGGTCAAAGCTGAATGGTCAGGCAGGCTGGGGTGTTCCTCTGAGCTCGGCGTAGTGCAAGCAGACGGCTGAGGAGTGCTGCGGTCTGTACGCAACGATATCACACCATCCTGAGAGAGAGGGTGGGGGGGGTGGGGGGTTTAGAATATAATCAATATTCACAAACCTCTGATCACCCATGAATTTATAAAAAAAAAAATAAACAACAACAGGAACGGAACACCTACACATTAGGGCTGTCAGATGGGATCACAAATCAAACTCAAATTTTTCACTTTTTTGCTTGTCAAATATTGCAATATATTTGAATTTTATAATGTATTTGAATATATAATTTTTTTAAAATCACATTATTTACAAAGAAAATAAGTAAGAGGATGCATTACTGAAGTAAAAGCCTAAGTAGATCTCTAAGTCAATGTTACGTCTCCTAAATCCAGCAGCAAAAAAAGTATCAAGTGACTCCAAAAGCGCACAGTTTTAAACCAGCCATTTTCAGCCAGGTCACAACCCGCGAGATGGTCAGCAAAAAAGGTATATAAGGGTATTCTGACGTACCTTTGAGAATAATATTCATAAAACTCCCATAATTTCCATAAGCTAAATAGAGCGGCTGAGCTGAAAGGTGAAGTGTAGTGAAAATAAACATCTGTAGCAGTTTATCTACACAGCTTTACCTCCTTATATAGATTCAGTGATTATCAGCTTACTGTACTACAAAGTAGGGGTGGCCAATATGTCAGAAATACAGTATCACGATACTTGAGAACACTTTCACGATGAGGATATTTCAGTTTTGATAAGTGGAACAGATACATTTGATAAGTTAGAACAGACAAATAGTCCCAGTAGTCCAACATTTAAAAAGCACTACCAAAAACTACGAATACAATGGTTTTTATTCAACATTTCACAACCTGTACAGCACTAAATCCAATTAAACAGCACTACTTATGCTCTCTTTGTAATGAAACATGCAGGTCAGAGCTTTTTAACTACTAACGACATCTTCAACATGCCCAGAAATGCATATTGTGACATAATTTAACATGATAACAATAAAATACCATAATTTCACCCACTTTAGCTACAAAGCATCCACATTCAGAGCGATGGCTTGTCAGAAAGTCTGCCATGTGAAGCAGATCATTCAGTTACCTCACACAAGATCGTATTTCTGCCGGTCAGCGTTATTCATTTTATACAATAACCATATTGCCTCCTTCAGACGGACTGAGCTGCTGTCGAATGTCTGCATGTCCCAGTAGCATGTAAAAGCACATATACTGTTTGGTTTATGATCAGCAACGAATGGCAGGTTCTTCCCACCACCTAGTGGTCGCTGTTTGTAATAACGTTAGTAACTAATCGGCCTGGAACACAGTATCAGGGACTTTAAATATTCAAAAGGACATTTTCTGCATTCAAATTCACTCCTTTGGATTCGATGAATAGTCTAATTTTACTCTGACAGCCCTACCACACATCATTCTTAACGCAGCACACACCTGAATCTGACTGCTGAGTTTTCTGAGAAGCAGCAGCCAGTCTGGCTCCTGGAAGAGCTCTTGCTCCGGCTTCTCCTTCAGCTGGGGGTCAAAAAACCTCAACCGCTCAGACATCTGTAATCAGACAGAGAGAGAGATCAGCAACAGGAGAACAAGAGTGGGCGACTACAATCAAGATAAAAATAAACAAAATATAAAATGCCGCGTACCTGTATGAGCTGACTGATGAACACAGGTGAATGGTAGTCAGGTAACGTCAGCAGCGCACGGGAAATGACCTCACAATAATGGAAGGCCTGAGCACAAAGCCCCGCCTCCGCCAGCCGACATGCGTAGATGAACTTGAACACCTGTAAGGGTTAAAGGATGAAACTTCGTAACCATCAATAATCAGTGTACAGATACTCAAGAACTCGCCATTTTAACTGACCCAGAAAACGACAGTGTCTTGCTTGTGAGGTAAGTATAGTATACTTTGTTTCTATTGGTCCTTCAACAGAAGCATGTTCCCAAGTATTTATTGTTAAGAACGTCACTGAGAAGGCGAGTGAAGCAGCTGTAATTAGATTAACTACATTAGCTAACGTTAGCTAGCTGTTTTGAATAATCACGGTGTTGTAACCCGTCCCTGACTGTGATTGAGCCTCTTGCAGTGCTGAGACGTACACAGAGTTCTTTTAAAGTGTACTTACAACAAAGTGTTTAGTCGTCTCAATTGTACTACCAGTTCAAACAGTGCTGGCTCATTAGCTCATCTGAAGGGGCAGCTTCCATTACTCACAGCTTATCCCACAGTGACCAAAACATTTTGAATAACAAAAAATGTACAGCTCTGCTGCTAAATTTTCCTTCATGCTACTGATTCCGTTCAAGCCTATTAGCAGCAGAGCCATCAGGTAACAGAAACGAGCCTCATCAACCAGACCTTTGGAGGCTGTAACTCACAAACACAGTCAAATATCTGAAACGTACTTTTTGAGTTATCTACACTTTCATTCAAAGGTTTGGAATTATGTTTTTGTAAGTTTAGAATCAATAATATAAAATGAATTTGGTTGCAAAGCAACTCATAAAACTATTGTAACGCACCAGTTGACCCTTTTTGTATATTAGGATTAAGAACTAATATACACTTACATCAATCAAAGCATTTTTGCTCCGCAATGAACCAAGTATTTGTCCAGCATCTCTTAAGGATACCTGAATATCTGATTTACATCTCTAGAGTAATATAATAGAGCCTCAAGAGTCTGTGCTTCACAGAGCTGTCACCACAGGTGTTATGATAAATACACCGATGTTCAAAAATGTTGCTTAATTATTAATAGTAATTGCAACAAACCACACTTCTGCCGAGCAATGAACTCCAGTAACAGTAGGCTGTGGATGCCAAGCAACATGTGCACAGTTATGTGTATAATGATCATTTTGTAGGAACTATCCATGTCACAGTCAGTGGCGTGATAGTATTAGCAGCTCCAGAAAAAAACTCCCAGTTAAAGGTATAAACTTCAGACACAGTGAAGAAAGTGTGTATGAGACTAACCTGGAAGTTGGGCAGTGAGAGAGGCTGAGAGCCCAGAGACTGAGCGTACTCATACGCCTCTGTTCTCTGGATCGCTTCAGTAGCACAGAATCTCACAAAGGGCAAACTGAGAGAGAGATAGCGAGAGAGTGAGCGTGAGCTTGTGTCATGCCTAGAACGTCCAAGAGATAAAACTATACCAAAAAATTGTGAAATCAAGCATTTTTGAGGCACTGTCAATTAAATAACTGCTGTTCCGTTCCTCTATCCAGAATTAGAAGCAAAGGCTTGAATCTTAAACTTGAAACTTGCTAGTTGAGGAAGGAATTATGTAAAATAATGTGGGTTTGTCATTTATAGCTTTAGTCATAGCTAAAAATGGAATGTGCATATATAAATAATCAATATTGAATGATTTTTTGGCCATATTGACTAGCTCTAGTGTGCAGTTTATATTCGCACTATATATGTCTCATACATTCGCATAAACACTGACCATGAGCAGTAGATGTACTGTACCTGTGGTTGGAGCCAATAAGGACCATCTTGGTGCTCTTTTTGGTAAAGACCCCCAAGCCCACCTGAGCCATCAGGTAACAGAAATGAGCTGCATCAACCAGACCTTTGGAGGCTGTAACGCACAAACAGTCAAATATCTGAAAGGTGTACTTTTTCAGCCGTTAAAAGATTTGGAATTGGGTTTAAGTTTCAGAATCAATAATATAACACCAATTTAGTGGCAAAGCAACGTATGTGAGTATTCTAATGCAGAAATGCATAAATTATAATTAGAAAGCTGGAAAGTTCAAATTAACTGTAAATACACAATTACAGCAACAGTACACAGTACATAATTTAATAACTTCTTGGAATAGTTAATAAAACATTTGAAAATACATTTTATTGTCTTCTTTAAGATACAATCTACAATGTGTAAGTTATTAGTGCACATATTTGACCAAAATCATTAATATGACGAGTGACTCCAAACGTTTGAACTGTACTGTAAGCTAATATACAGTACTGTGTAAAAGTCTTATGCTCCTAGGCAAACTGTTCAAAACCATTCATCTAGATAGTGAGCGTCTTTCTGCCATTAAAAACACCACATAACATTAGAATAAATGCAGATAATAGAAGCACTGATGTGGCAAAAAGTAACAAGAATTTCTTGCTTTCAAAAAGCTTCAAAAACATATCTTGTGAGCTAATTAGAACACGTTTCTGGTTCCATATTTCTCCTTTACGCCCCTGGTCACTGCATGGATTTGTTAAATTTCACCAGCATGTCTGATTTAATTTAATGGAGGACTGATCAGCCAAACTAGGTGGTGGATTATTAACTACAAATACTAATTCTCTGCTACAAGGAGAGGTTTGAAAAACTGCATATTGTGTCCTTACTGTAAAATATGTTCCAAAGTGACTCGGCAGATTAGATAAAGGTAGTAAAATAGCCTTCTGGGTGCGTGTGTGTGTGTGTGTGTGTGTGTGTGTGTGTGTGTGTATATGTTTACCCAGAGTGTCTCCCATTGTCGAGACGGTGCGCGTGTCCAAGTCCAGAGTGTGCGTAAGGTTGGAGAGCACCATGGCCAGATGGGGGCGCCAGTCTCCCCACTTCTCATCCCCACAACACTGTCAATAAGAGAAAGAGGAATATTAAGCTGCTACTACTATTATTACTATTACTACCACCATTACTGCTACTACTACTACTAATAATACTACTGCAAATACTAATGATACTATTAATATTATTACTAATAATAATACTACATAGAATGTTCAATAAATGAACAATTAACTCAATTGTACGAGACATGTATTATGATAGCAGTGGCATTGCGGTATGAACAAAGCACCATGCTACTGTCATTCCATGCTGGCAATCATTATCCTCTGTCTCCAAAGCAGAATGGACAAACTCGCTTGTTTTCATGAATTCATCTGTCATTCATAATTACGCCTCTATTCTAAAAAGGTCTGTCTGCTAATATGTCCAGAGTGAGTCCAATAAGACAGATTTAACTACATTGATAGCTAGGTCTAAATTAGAATAGTAACATGTCTATCAGACTCTAAGATGATTTCCACTCTCTTGTAGCCTCACATTAATGTCTACTGTTACTCAAAATCATGTAGCGTCAAACAAAACGTACATTTTCTTTTGCGACTGTATAAGCAGAAACCACTTATTCTCCAGGTACTAGCAAACGTTAATTTGGCAAACTCCTTAAAAACGACAGTGGACACATAGAAAGACACACCTATCATTGCAGTTTACATTCTGGTGTTTTTGGTGGTCATGTACAAGCTTGTTAAATGTATCCTGACTGTAACAGCTAAAAACAGCTGCCACACAGATCACAAGTAAAATCTGCTTGACAAAAAAGCTAAGTCGGTTTTATGGTAAAGGACGCGCGAACATGAAAAATGAATAGCTTTGGACAGAATTCATTTAGGTGAACTTTAAACCCCCCAAATTCATGAACCTCAGGCCATGAGCCAATAGAAAACAAGAGGGCAAACTGTTGTATTTTCTTTCTGAAAAATAATAAACAGAGAAACATTCCTCAGTCAACAAACCGTGGCTTGTCACTCACAAACCAGTTAACCATCTTACATTAACTGTTTACAGAATTATATGCTATCTCCGAAACCACCTTTTGACTTCTGCTGCACCCTCGTGAAGAAAACAGTGAGGCGGTGGTCCGGTGTGACAGCGGCTTAAGGCTATACAGGACATGTGAAGTGAAATCAAACAGCCTGACCTCAAATACATGTTCTTGTTGCTGTGTTATCTTTCCTCTGTATTAGGTCATCAGCATTTTAAGACCCATCATGTGTTTCATTGACTGCATTTCTGCTTGCATTATTTGTTATACTGGTGGTGTTGGGAGGGTATGAGGGGGACATTTGATGATGTATAGAGCCACCTGCAGCTTGTCTTTGGCAACAACAGTCATCAGTCAGTCATTCACTCTCTAAAGCCGGGGTTACACTACACGACTTTTGCCCCGATTCTCAGTCTGGCTGAGTCTGTGCTAGTTGTCTCTAGTCTGCAGATGTTTGGGTCAGTCGGAGTTTGAAGATTTTTGGCCTCCTGATCAGACCAGTCAGAGTTTATCAGACGTTTGATTTTTCCGACCTGACTCTGAACGTAATCTAGCGTAAACCAGTCAACGACTCAATCTGAACGGACTCCTGCAACAGCCAATGAAAACAGAGTGAGAAAGAAGAAAATACAGCAAGTAAACAAAGAAAAATGGTGAAAAGTCTCTCAAGTGTGGAGCGAAGCTTTTTAATGAGCTGAGCTTAAGGCACAATCAAGTTTATGTATATTTAAAACTCTAATAAATACCAACCGATCAAATTTTTAAATCCATGATCCTCTATTAAACGTTTACCAGCTGCTTCTTTACTGTTTCAGTGCAAACAGCAAAGAAAACAGCAGCAGCACCTACATGTTTGTTTATTTGGGTCTCCTAGTAACACGAGAGTCGCGAGAGTTCAGTGAGCTCCGTTCGGTTCAGCAGCAGCTGAAAAGTTGAGAAGTGTGTGATGCCTGATCATTTAGTGTGTGATCCCCAATATATTAGTCGCCCAAAAAAATCTGCACAAACCAGTCGGACAGTGTGAGACACCCAGTCTTTTAGAATCTGTTAAGACTTTAAAAGTCATGTTGTGACCCAAGGCTTCAGCTCTTGTAGGCTGGCCTGCTTGAAGGGTCCAGCAAAAAGACATCTAAAAACTGCGTTATACATGAAAAATATGCTCACTGCCTCACACACACGCTTACCGTAGCAGCAGCTGGCATCCTTCCTGACATGAGCTGGTAGACTGTCTGCAGGGGGTCGTTGATGGGAAGACTGTTGGCAAACCTGACAAACACACACGCATAAACTTTACAACAGGTCATGTTTTCAGATCACAATCCGGAAGTACGTGTGCACATCCCTTGAAATATGTCTTCAGTTTCACAGCTGCTCATAAATCACATAAATTCATTCCTGTTTCTTTTACAGATGCAAATTAACAATGTGCAAATTATTATAATTATTACATGACATAAAAAGAAAAACTACAGGTGGGAGTTATGAGCTCCAATTTATTTTCTGTACGGCAACATCTGTACTAAATACTATCAAGAAGAATAAGCTGTGAGTGCGTGTTACCTGGTCATGACTCTTGCGTGTGTTCTATTGTCCATCTTACTGGCCAGAAGCAGTGCGTGGCCCCAAAGCCCGTTCTTCATAGCAGACTCAAGAGCATCCTAAAACACACACGTCAAAGTCAAATCTCACATATACAGTCAAACATGATTTGCTGACGTGAAAATAAGTTTCAGAGATTCACAGAAAATAAGTTAACAGATTCTTCACAATTTAATGTTTAAATATTTAAATGACTGTATTTACAGAAATTAACATACAGGTCTTTTTATATTTTGTGTTTTTTTTTCCCCCCCAATATGTCACATTTAGCAAATAAATAGAAATTATGCACTAAAGTTGGCATAAACATGTGTTCACTTATTTTCACTGTTCAACTGAATATGTAATACGTCCAGGGGTGTTTGAACTTTTGCACACGGCTGTATGTATTTGCTGCACTTATAATTTGCATTTTAATATGGAAGAAACATGCAAATGATGTGCAGTTTGAGCAACAGTGTCTGTATTCTTGCCTTCTTTCGCCCAAACAGCAGCAGTTCCCTGAAGCGCTCTGTTTCCTTCCCAGCATTCTCAGGTGTGCCCATGAAGGTGTCGGACAGCAGAGACAGTGGGCCGGACCCCTCCTCCTCGGGCCGCTCCAACGCCTCGTTGGTGAAATCAATCAGATTTGCTTCGTTGGGCGATTTACCCGGCAGCCACACAGAGCGATGCTCCTTCAGCAACAGATCAGCCAGGTCTGTACCCACCACAGTCTAATACAGAGAGAGAGGTTGTGGGGGAGTGAATCAATGAATCACCCTGTTTCACCTTTTTAAATTGTTTTGTTTCTCCATTTAAACCACTCAAAACAATAACAATACAATAATTCAACACTGCAACTTTTTATTATTTATGTACTACTGTAATCTACTGACTTCAATTAATATACAGATTTCATTTTTTTTCATTAATTGACTAACTGAAGCATCGTACCATCTGTGGTTTATTCTCCCACATCAAAGTCCCAACTATTTAATTAGCAGTTTCTTCTTCTCGACTGGATCATATGAACTTAGCATTATAGAGCGCTTTTTAAATGAAACAGTAAAGCCATATCGCCCCCTACACTTCCTGTAGTGTATTACAGTCTGTCAGAATGACTGCATGGATCATATGAACATTATAGAGGCTTTTTAAATGAAACAGTAGAAGCCATATCGCCCCCTACACTTCCTGTAGTGTATTACAGTCTGTCAGAATGACTGAGTGGATCATATGAACATTATAGAGCTTTTTAAATGAAACAGTAGAAGCCATATCGCCCCCTACACTTCCTGTAGTGTATTACAGTCTGTCAGAATGACTGTGTGGATCATATGAACATTACAGAGGCTTTTTAAATGAGACAATGTAAGCAATCTATCAGAATGGCTGCCTATAGCATATGAACATAGAAAACAGTTCTTTTGTTTTTAAAAAATCTTACTTTTTCCCCCATAACTGACCTCCAATAATTAAATGACTAGCATTAAATAAGATGTTGCTGTCAGAACAAAACCTCATGTCTCCAAAGTGGTAACTTTACAAGAGAAGGAAAAAACATTATTAAATTTCAGTGTAAATTAACGTATAGAAATTGTATTGAAAAGTTTTGGACCCAATCATCCTGAAGTTTCTTACACATTTATTACGATGGAGCTACAAGGTTTTGTCCCAACATCTACAAAATACTGTATTCAAAGAAATACACACTTTTAGAGAATAGAAACAAATAATATTTTAAGGACAGAACAGCACTTATGCTTTACACAGTTGCACGTACCCCATTCTGTCGACAGAGCAGTACTATGAACTCCCAGATGAGCACAGCGGAGTCTTTGTCGATGAGGTCGTCATTTCGCGCGCATTCCTGAGCTTTGTTCTGGGCAAACTTTATAACGTCCACCTTATGGGTCTCTTCCCTGAAACACACAAACACACACAGGTCAGAGAGAACACATCAGGTGAGCATGCAGGTGTCTGTCTGTGTGCAGTAATGCTAAGTCACTGTGTGTTAGATCGAGAGCAAATGTCAGTCTTACTTGACGAGTGGTCCTGGGAAAGCTCGTAACTCGGCCTGCTCTGGAGAATCCTGCATCATCGTCTAGAACGACATCACACCCCAGTCAGAGGTGGGCACTTTCATACATACCACCAAGCTGAGAGCGTCAATATACATACAGTACTGCGCAAAAGTCTAAGGCACATACTGACTCAGATCAATAGTATGTAGCCTAACCTTATGGAGTTACTGATCTGAGCCACATACAGACTCAGATCAATAACTACACAGAGTTAGGCTACATACTGACTCAAGTGAGTGGCTACACAAGGGTAAGGCTACATACTGACTCAAGTGAGTGGCTACACAAGGGTAAGGCTACATACTGTCTCAAGTAAGTGGCTACATAAGATAAGGCTACATACTGACTCAAGCCAACAGCTACACAAGGTAAGGCTATATACTGACTCAAGTCAACGGCTACATAGCGTAAGGCTATATACTGACTCAAGTAAGTGGCTACATACTGACTCAATCCAACAGCTATATTAGGTAAGGCTATATGCTGACTCAAGTCAACAGCTACATAGTGTAAGGCTATATACTGACTCAAGCCAATGGCTACATAAGGTAAGGCTACATACTGACTCAAGCCAACAGCTACATAGGGTAAGGCTATATGCTGACTCAAGCCAACAGCTACATAGGGTAAGGCTATATACTGACTCAAGCCAATGGCTGCATAAAATACAGCTACATACTGACTCAAGCCAATGGCTACAAAAGGTAAGGCTACATACTGACTCAAGCCAACGGCTACAAAAGGTAAGGCTACATACTGACTCAAGCCAACGGCTACAAAAGGTAAGGCTACATACTGACTCAAGCCAACGGCTACATGGATTTGTTCAATACCATCAGCATATATAATTTAATGAAGGACTGATCACTAGGAACTGTAAACACTAGGTTTAAGCTAAAGCACACATACAATAAATTTCTTTTTTTCTAATGTTGAATTAAAAAAAATAAAACGTTTACTGCTCAGATAAGACTTTTGCACAGTACTGTATATTCAACAGGGATAAACTAAGTCAAAATAATGAATCCACTCGAGATTCATGGTGTCAGATTCCATGTCAAAATAGTCAGAGCGAAGGCAGAACCCAGGAGTCGTATTACCTCCGTGCTGTGGAGCTCCACGAGAGCCGGTTGCCCAGCTGAAGGCAGGTTAGGCTGGACCAGGATCAGCTGACCTGCCGGACCGAACCGTGCACAGCAGTGCGGGACAGAGAACTTCTCCGGAGTCAATGGCCTCGGAGGAGCTGAGAAAGACAGAGAGAGAGAAAGGGAGGAGTGGGTATGTGTGTACGGACATATGTAGGGGTATGAAGTTAACACTGTATGAGTTTTTAGGGAACTAAGGTTGTTTTCATTGGGAGAAATGTTTGTCGTGCTGTTTCCTCATTTACACTAAGTGTAAAGCTGCATAACATCTTGACTCAAATGAGTGGCTACATAAGTTAAGGATACATACTGACTCAAGTGAGTGGCTGCATAAGGTAAGGATACAAACTGACTCAAGTGAGTGGCTGCATAAGGTAAGGCTACATAACGACTTATGTCAATGGCTGCACAAGGTAAGGTTGCATACTGAAGTCAATGGTTGCATAAGCTAAGGCTATATACACTGACTCAAGTCAATGGCTACATAAAATACAGCTACATACTGACTCAAGCCAATGGCTACATACTGGCTCAGGGCAATGGCTGCATAAAGAAGTCAACAGAAATCTTTGAAAGTAAAATAACGAGTGAACGGGAGTGAGATAGTTACGCTGTTCTGGGGCAGTCCACGTGGTCTCTGTGGCATTGTACTGGCTGTAGCCTTGAGCGTCTGTTTGGTCAGGAAACTGACCGTAGGAATAGTCCACAGGCAGTGTTGTTGCTGTGGCATCATAACTTGCGGCAACCAGATCCGGCTGACTCCTGTACACCTGACTCTTTAGGAAAGAGAGAGAGAAGAGGGACATCACACACAGATACACACAGGTAGACGGATGTACACACATATGCTGTAACATATAATGTCAAAATAAAATGTAAAAATCTGATGCACCTTCGGATGGAAGAAACGCTCATTCAAGCGTTTAAAGCTATATTAGTTAGTAACACTCACAGATGACAGCTACCAAATGCAGAAATAACGCATCTATGTAAAATTCAGGATAACTATATATAGAATCAGAAATCAGAAGGCATTTTTCCTCCTTAATGTGACGTATTTCCAACGGAAGCAGGCTGCTTAGGCAGGAAATACTAAATAACCAAATCTTAAGTACTACAATATTTTGATGTGTATTTTCTGTAATTTCCAAAACACAATTTATTGATTCTTGAAAGCTTGATTTTATTGTGTTTTACTTTTTAAGAGTAATAAAACGCTGGTTAGCATCCACGTTGCTATGGCTTTCATCAATATGACACAGTGGATTATGCTTTATGTGCCCATGGACATGAATAAAGTATGTAAAAAAAGATCCATTTTAATTTCAGGTTGCCTTTAACATCTTGTGGTTCTCTGTGTTTGTTTAGTTGGAAACCCAAATATTACTATACCGGAATGTTGGCACCCTTAATTTGGAGAAGCTCGTCCATTTTACTCTCTACCACGGACAAGATATCATACAAAAATTGACATTATAATCTTTCCATTGTGGCGTTCATAGTTAATCAGATAATATTCTCTTTGCATGGCCCGTAATTAGCCATAGATTACAATGATTGTACAAAGAGAATAAATAAAAATAAAAAAAAAAATCACGTGGGACTTGAAAGAGAACGAAAACAATATATACGTTCCCGTTAGAGCTAACAGAATGATCTGCATCAGGTGGAAGACTTTTTCCCACAAGCCAAATGTGGACTCTGAATATGGACTCTGGCATAACAGAGTGGCTTAGAATGCTGGCTTAGATATCTTGGCCGATATCCTTCATTTTTCTTGTATTTTTTAGTTTTTCCTCTTGCGGTCCACTTAAGATGGTCATGTAAAATGAGTTATGGCTGTTTTTGCCAAATAAAGCCACGTACATTTTCCAACCTCTCTTGATCCCTTTGAATTAAACAGGCTATGCCTCTAAGACTGATGTAATGCACTCTTTAAGATATGTAAACATGCTCTGTTGTAACGGGCTGCCCTCTGTTGTGCCCGATTTAAAAAGAAGTCTGGACCAAAACACTCTTTCAGCGTTAATGGATGGGGGTAAACTGCTGTAGGCATTATAGACATACACTGTTACAAAATAAACCTGACCCAAAACCTGAACCTCTTAATTTCTTACTGCACTTTTTAAGTGAGCACACACACGCACCTGCTGCGATCGTGAGCTGAAGCTGCTGCGCCGGCTGTGTGCAGAGTGGACGCTGTGGGCGGATCGCTCGCTGTGGACGGAGCGCCGGTCAAATTCATCCGCATACGGATCCCGCCGGCGACAGTCATCGTCGAAACTGGAGTCGTAGCCAGGATAGTAGCGCCATGGATCATCATAGTTTTCTGGCCTGAAGATGGTGGAAACCATGGAAACGAGCAGGTCAAAATGATGCCACAATGGGAAGCGGAAGTCGTTAGTGTCGATATTGATAACATTTCCCACCATTTCAGGTGGTTGATAGTTCTGCTTACATGATTGAGGCGAATAAAATGATCCTAACCAACTGTCACATTTCTGGATACGTATTAAATTGAGGTCTATTCAATTCAGCACAGCCACTAAAACAGAAGACTAGGTCAGGGGTCGGCAACATGCGGCTATTCTGCTGTCCTGTTGTGGCTCCACAGCTGAATTAGATTTGCAAGTAAAAATAAAATAATCCTCCTTTACAGTAAAATAAAGCTCTGCTGATCGTTCAACACAGTTTAACAATAAATGGTCTTAAACTCTGGAGTTAATGTAGAACTGCTGATTCACCCTTTAACCCTGAAGTTTGGTGCACTGACTGCTGGTCACCATAGCAACACACAAAGATCTCGCCTAGCTAGTAGCTAAAGAAAAGGCAAAGAGAAACATTTAAGACGAACATCGATAATTTAGAGACAAATGGACTTATTTGCAATTATAATCACTCCATCTGGTTTCCTGATACGTTTAATCTGCAACGAGAAACTGAAAAGAAGTCAAATGCTGAGAGACATTTAACAAGAAACTGTTCTACTTTTGCGGAAAAGTTTCCTGCCGGAGATGCAAGAAAAGCAGCTATAGCTGAGCTAAAGCTTAAAGCAGAGCAAAGCGAGTCCTTCATTTATATTATATTTTTAGCCTGTATTTTAACCTGGACTAGACTGTTTTAGAGGGGTGTAGTGTGTATGATCATTAGTGTGTGTACCTGCTGGGATACTGTTGGCTGTAGTAAGGGTCTCTTCTGTAGGCCTCGGGGTCGTAGTTATACCAGCTGTAGGCCTGGTCATAGTAAGCTCTATAGCGGGGGTCATAAACGGCACTGGGGTCATACCACCTGCTCCGATCTACAAGCACAGACACGAAGACAGAACAAACTATTAATTCAGCCCACACTGAAACACAGAGAAATTAAAATGAGTTTGGGTAAGAAATTCTGTGGGCAAACAAACAACAGCGTACTCATTTATCAAAAGCATGATTCCTTCATTAGAGTTCTGGCACCATTTGCATGCAGAATCCCCACTAAAGTGATGTGTTCACATAGTTCTAATATTCTCCACACAGAAGACGTTTTTCTTTAGCTTTATGAAGAAGCACTTTCGTTTCTTCATAAGAAGTATCTGAAGTACCTAAAGGTTCTTGGCAGCCACTCAGCTGCTGAACATGCCGAAAAGGAGACTGTCAGTTCAAGTGAGAGCTTTTATTTAGTCAGAAAATTTAAATTTTATTTCAAGGAAATACTTTTTTTTTTAACCAATCATTTTTTTTATGGGGGGCAGCAATCCCTTTACTCTTATCAATTTAAATATTCAAGTCAGCTATTAATTCAAAAACCTCACATAATATGGTCTGTGCTTTTATTAGATTCACTTATGAACTGACTATTAGAAAAAGTCTCGCTTCCAACGAATTCTGCTGGACCTCTCCTTTCCAATAGACGTCCTATACCACCTCCAGAGTATGTGGAGAAGTACGCCACGCCATTTCACTTTCATAAATAACAACACACAGACAGCTGCTCAGCATGATTATTACGCATACACATCCTTCCAACATGTGGGGGTGAGAAAGGACTGGAGGTGAGAGAGGACAGTTACAGTACAGTGCTTACCTGCGTACTGTTCGTACTGTTTCTTGTAATAATTTGCATAGTAGTCTTCGTAGGCACTGCGGTTAGGCCTGGGGTAATCTTCTGTGTACCCCTGCCTGAGAGAGAAAAATCAGAAACAAAGGCCATCTGTAAAATCTCAGTCAGAATTGTGCTGTTATCTCCCCTGTATGACAATGTGTGGGCAGCAGTTCAAACAGACACTGAGTGGGCAGCGGGTACTAGTCAGCATGATGTCATCTGCAAAATGCTAACTAAGGCCCAGAGCACAACAAGCCGGCAGACGTGGTGAGCACTAGTGGTCGAACGTCACCTATAGTCGGTGTGCTGTGTACGGCACCGCAGGCTCTAGTCAGTCCTCATCATTTTTGGCTGGTCGAGCATGTAGAATCAGTAACGGTGGTCAGCAATGAGAGAGCGAACGAGGAGAGAAATAAAAGCAAGGAAGAAAGCTATGCAAGGTAACAGCACTCTCAAGAGGACACATGCAGAGAACAGCCTTATTTTTCAATGCCAGATTAGTTTTAGCACTAGGAACGGGCATTCAAACTATTCTTCCTATATGAATGCTATATATAAATATAAAAATGTGTCACTATCGTACTCCCAACGAGGAAAAAAAATAATATTATGAACGAACACAGACGCACAAGAGCTCTGAAGGTGCTCTGATATCACACTTACATAAAATAAAGCCTATTATACTTACTCATTCCATTGATTATCATTTCTTGCTTTCATTTTTTTTTTTATTTATTTGTCACATAATTGTTTCAAGTAGCCTTTTTAACCACCCAGCGCCGCTACAGTGTTTTACTTTCACTTTCACATTGCAGGTTTAGCTTAAACATTGACATTTAAAGCTTATAAGACATTCCATTTCCGTATCTTTTACTTTGTACGTGGCAGTTTTACAGGTTTAGACTATTACCAGCTCCTGCTATAAAGAGATGTTGCTCCACAGACGCATTAAGCAAGAGTGTCTCGGCCGTAAGCTGCAGTCTTCACGGAGTGAACCTCACCTCGGTGTGTCCTGGGCCTAACTCTCAACAGTCTCTTAATCGTTATGAGAAAAATGATGGACTTCACTATGAGAGGAACTGCTGCCCTCTGCTCTTTGACCTCACCTGGAGTTGGGTCGGTCAGAGTACTGACTGGTTCTTGAACTGGGTCTCTCTGGCTGCCGCTCCATCTCCCGGTAACCAGGGTTTGGTCCGTTATATCGGCCGTATCGGGGATCAGCTCTCCGATACGGATCATCCTGCAACCAGAATGGAGAATACAGAGGGAGAGACAGATTTTTAATAATAAAATATCATTTAAGAACATTGGATTACCTCTGAAAATAATCTGCAAAACAATAAATGAACATAATTAATAACCTACATCTCATTGTGTAAACTAAATAATTCTCATTACTGTGCATCACTTAATGTGCAAAAATAGAGTTAATAAAAAGATCAGTTTTAGAAAGTGTTGACGCTAAGACTGGGTAATATGCTAAAAAATATAACAGACGTTTTCTTAATAATACTAAGTACCTTGTTTATTTTTATCTGATGTTTGAGAAGTTGAAATAACAACAGACAACTGTTGCCAAAAGTACTATCAAAAACCATGGATACAAGTGATTTTGCATTTAACATTTCACATACTAAATCCAATTAAACAGGACTAATTTTGCTTTCTCGGTAATGAAACGTAGCTGTTTAGTGTTTAAGTACAATACGCTCAGAAAAAAAGCAAATTGTAGCATAATGTGACCATTTATCACAATAATGATAAACAGTCATAGTTAATGTTTCCTTTCAACTTATGCAGAACGCTCCTACTTTATCAGAATTCCTACTCATTTTTTTCTAGCACAATTTCCAAAAAAAATCAAAGACATTGACATGTCTCCTAAAAGTGGCTTGTTCATGGCTAATGATATGACGTATGTTCATTTGAGACTGCACACTCCATTTATTTAACCAATTAAGCCCAAATAAAATTATATACACCTGCTAATCCTAAACAACTCAAACCTTTGAGAATTTATCTTCTTCCAAAATCTACACTGTTGGAAATAAAGGTTCTGTTCAGGTACATTTTTCGTTCATCAAGGTACAAACAATGTAAATCTTCCCTCAAAGGTACAACAGTGGTTTCAAGGTCCAACTGTAAAGTTTTAAGTCTTTCCAGGTGAAAAGTTCATATTTGTCCCTTTTCATAACCGAATGTTTTAAAACAGAACAGTAAAATAAAAGCCTGGAGACGAGACGGGGTGTGTGGAGTCAGTACAGCTTAGAACATATCATTTCAGTGGATTATGGTACAGTTATGTTCCCTGACTAAAGATACTGAGATGAACCCTTGAGGGAATCACCCCAGTGACAAGAGGGGAACTGACCCAGTGACAGTTTAATACCTTTATTTCTGAGAGTGTATTCGAAGTGGAATAATAAAGAAAGATATATCTGAATATCAAATGCATAAAATCACAAAACCTGTGAATTTTTAAAGCTTGTACTCTTAAGTGGTCTTGAGACACATAGTGACACAAAATACTGTATATCAGTGACCATTTTTACATTTTGTGTGATTCTTTTCATTAAAATGTTAAGAGAAAAAAAATGCAATTTTAGCATATTTTGTTTAATAAACATGCTGTGAGTTGTAAAGTACACACTTAAACAAGAGAGTTCTTCAAGGGCTCTTTTGTAAAGAAAATAGTGAACACTAAAATGAAAAGGGTTCTATATAGCACCCAAAAGGGTTCTTCTATTGTTATGATGTGAGGCTTAAAAGAAATTATTCTATTTTTGAGGAAAAGTTTCCTGTCGGAGATGTGAGAAAAGCAGCTAAAGCTAAGCTAAAGCTTAAAGCAGAGCGAAGTAAGTCTGCATTTTCATATATATCATATTTTAAGTCTACACTAGTACTACTGAGACATATTTACTCCTTTTGGTGCTATATAGAACCCTTTTCGAAAAAAAGTTCTATATAGAACCATCTACAGAACATTCTTCATCAGTCTGAAGAACGCTTTCACGATGCAAAGAACCCTTAAATCATGCAAATGGGTTCTTTGAGAGTTCGTGGTTCTATACTGAACTATTTTCTTTACTAATGAACCCTTTAAGAACCAACATTTTTAAGCGTGCAGACATCTAAAGCAACTTTAAAATCACTAAATTTTCATTTAAACGAAACCTAAAATAGATCAGGGAAAACAAAAATTACTTAAAGCTGCATTTTGGGGATTTGGAGACCTCTTAGGTGGAAAAGTGTAATTGCATGCAACACGTGTAACATTTTGTAACACGGGTTGTGGTACAAACCCCTTCCCTGAGGTGATGAATTTTATTGCAAGAACTCAGCCAAAACTTGGTGAAGAACATGTCTTCAGAGATGTGAGTGAATTTTCTACTACTGTCATCATCTCATCAGTAAAAAAAACTAATTTTGAATTCGAGGCCTAAACATTGAGCTGGACCCTTTTTTTCAGCCTGCATGTGCTGTTAATACATAAAGATGTAGGACATGGTCTGAAAAACTCCTGATCTGATGCCTCTGACTTTTAAATGATATGAATGATATTATTATATTATTTCATGCAATACAACTCTTTAGCGTTTATTTGAGCCAGTCAGTGATGATATATCTTTTTTAACCGAAAAAAACCTTACATAGTGCAGCTCTGTTTACTATTGTGTCTTACATGGAACTTATTATACCTGGTAGTAGTTCTGAGCCCTTGGGTCCATGTGGGGGTACTGAGGAGGGTAGGGATGCCTTCCATCCTGGTACTCTGGGTAGTAACTGCCATATCCAGGCCCGGGAGGCATGGGAGGTGGAGCACCGTAACCAGGCTGACCCCCAAGAGAAGACGGGGGGCGCTGAGGTTCATGTGAGGCAGTAGTGTTCCCAGCCTGGGGAGGATAAGTAGGAGGTGGGGCTGGGCCAGATACAGGGGGTGGGGCAGCTTGGGAAGTGGGTGGAGCCTGTAGGGGTGGCTGATACTGGGTTGGAACTTGATGGGCCGACTGGGAGGGACCAGTGGGTTCGTTGTTAGTTTGATTGCTGGAAGGTCTTGGGGGGTTTGGGGCTGGTGGCTGAAGTGGAGGTTCCGTGTCAGCCCGCACAGCTTGCTGCGCATCTTTGGTGACCTGCAGGTAAAAGCCAGGTGTGTTATTCACCATGGCAGCAGGAGGAACAGACTGGGAAATGGGCAGAGCCACAGGTTGATTTGTGCTCTGTGGTTGGTGCATAGAAAAATCAAGAAGCTCAAAATTTGAGGGTTGATTCTGATTAGCGGTAGAAGCAGAAGATGTAACTTGTGAATTAGGAGATTGGACAGCTTGACCATCACCTCTTAGTGATTGGGCCCTTGAAAGAGGCGGGCGGGCAGGTTGGGCAGGAGGCGGAGCATCTTTGACCTCATGAGCCAGATTCAACGGACTCTGGCTGGAAGGAGGGTAAGAGCTTATTGGCGCCTGAGAGAAAAGAGGTGGCGGCTGATTTGAAGAGGAACCCGGAGGCAATTGACTGGCCACTGGGGTTTGAGATGGTGGTCGAACGGGTGAGGTGGCCTCCTTGGGACTTGTCTGATTGGCTGTTTGATGAGGGTTTTGAGGAGAAATAACACTATAATTAGAAGAAGGGGGTGCAATCAAGACAGGCTGGTTCAAAGCCTCTACAGAAGGCGTGGCCACCAGCAAGGAAGCGTAACCCAGACTTGCCTGAGAGGCCGAGTCCGGTGGGTTCTCAAGGTTCTCAGAGTGAGGTTGTGGATGTGCCCTGGGTGGCTGCAGATCCAATGGTCCATCTTCTGGTGGCTGGATGACCTCAGCACTGGATTGACGCACAGGAACAAGAGCAGCAGCCAGAGGGGGCGCTGCAGGTGCCAACAGAATATTAGCTCCGAGACTAGCAGGATCACTCTGAGCCCAGAGGGTTGTAGCTGGACTTTCGCAGGGTCGACGAGATCCCTGGGCTCTAGAAGAAGGTCTGCGATCCTGCCCTCCTGGAAAATAAATAGTCTCCATATTGTCCGGAGGCTGCTCCAGGTTGCCAGGCAGCCCATCTGCTCCACCCTTTTCCATAACCATTCTAGCTCTGTCAACTTCAGCAGGCCTAACACCAACACTATGTGATCGCACAGGTTCAAAGGAGGAGTTAGCACTGGCCTGGAACACGCCCACTGGTTTTGGGGGGCTGGGGGTTGGGAACGTGGGACTCAGCTCTGGAGCAGGGGCAGAATCTATTTGTTCAAAGTAACCAGCAGGGGAGGAATGGGAGGCTGGTGGATCAGGGGGGCGGGGGCTTTCCTGCTGGATAAATGTTCCAACAACACCCTGATGCCGTCGAGGAGGGTGGCCACCACTGTGGGGGGCGTGGCCACTTCCATGACTGACATTGCTGTAGCTTGACGAGACACTTGCAGAACGTGTGGGGCGAGGGGCAGAATCTGGAGTCTCCAAGTTAGGCCCAGCCTCATAGGTATGGCTCGGCGGTGGTTCGCTAGGCAGCACTTCTTGGTTCGGAATGCATTCCAGATTCTCGACAGAGTCACTTGGACCTGCACCAGCTCTGATATTCCCACTGTCATTCAAATACTGCGCAGAGGCCTCAGCTACTACCCCTGCATGTGGAGGGTTAGAGATCCCATTCACATGTCCCTCCCCTGAAAGAGTTTCTTCGTTCTCTACGTCATTGCCCCGGAAGAACATAGACAGTGTTCCGGAGTCAGCAGGGACATAGGGGATGGGACAGGCACGCTGAGATGGATCCTGTGGAACCTGACTGAACCATGGCTCTGGGGCTCCACCAGTCTGGCTAAAATAATTTTGGGCTGAAAAGTGGGAGTTCTGTTGCTGTGAACTGGCCGGCCCACCTGAATTCAGTGGAGTCGACTGGCTATGATTTTGAAGGTGTGTCTGCGGGGGGCCAGGATGGGATGAGGGGGCAGGATGAGGGGCCTGTGCCTGGGGAGGGGCATGGAAAGGCTGAGGCGGATCACTGGTTGGCTGAAAGTAGTTCTGAACAGAGGGGGGGCGACTACCATGATCAGGCACCAAATGCGATGGAGCAGGAGGAGTGGGCTGAAATGGAGGGTTGCTTTGAATTGGTGGTGTTGAGGATGCAGGAGGAGACTGAAAGGAGTTGAAAGGAGTGGCAGGGTTCGGCAACCGCGCAATATACGGCATTGGTTCTTGGGAGTTGAAATAGCCAGGCTCAACAGGAGGTGGGTTAGGAGCAGGTGAAGGCCCTGATGGACCAGGATGAGGGGTGAAAAAGGTGGGTGGGGGACCAGCTGCTGCCATTTGCGCTCCTGATGGTGGGACTTGAGGAGCGGGGTGGGTAAAACCTGCTGGTGGAGGGGCTTGCATAGGAAGAGGACTGCTGTTTGGAGGTGGAGCCTGGCTGCCTATTGGCATTGAAGGTGGCACTTGCCTCACGAAGGCAAAAGGGTCAGACACTGGCTGAGAGGGTGGAACAGGTGCTGCTGCAGTGGCTGCTGCTCCATGCTTGTGTGGTCGAGTCCTCCTAAATGCATTGGGGCCACCGGAGGAAGATGGGGGCGGGCCACATGCTCCAGGGGGCGCCGCACGAGGAGGTGGTTGCATCTCTAGTAAATGATGTCCTCCAGAGCTCAAAACACTGAGGGTGTGTGAAGACTGTCCCTGTGGAAGAAAAACAGAGGGAAAAAACAGTGTTACAGTGCATATTGTGATGTGAAGGACAGTCACGTAATAAACAAAAGTTAGAAACAGCTTATCTAAGTAAACAATGGCCTGTTTTCTACTGTACGGCTGAACGGCTCTGACCACAGAGTGTAACTGTTCCAGTGGTATTTCCACACGAACCCGTGTACAACAACGGACACTTACAAACTGTGGGCCACAGAACCGTTTGGATGGGATGCCTTAATGACTATTTATTGAACATTTAAGCCGGTATTGTGCTGCCTCATCCTGCGAAAACAATCAAAAACGTTTATTTTGCTTACATGGACAACAAATAAATGAAATCATATTCGGCCAACCATTTAATAAATGTTAAACTATAAATCTAACAACAATTGGTCAATGTTAAACTGGTACTAGGAATGAATCTGGACAGTATTAACGTGACCTGCTAACAGAACACCACCGAACACAGTTAGAATATTCTGAAATGCACGTTAAACGGATTCAGTCCACCAATCTAGCTAATCTTATCCCAGTAGCGTTTTCTGGAGACTGCATCTAAAGCGTCTATGTATCCTTTTTTATGGTCATTCTGGTCTATTTTGCTTGGTTTTCATCCACCTGCAGGGCTGTAGCTGCAGTAACAGTGATGAGATGAGCAGTAACAGTGATGAGAAGACCACACTACCAAAATGGCAATGTGGTCTTCTTAATGACATAATCAAATGCTGTAAATTAAATAGGTTTTCTGTGTGTTCTGAGCAGCAGCCTGTGGGGCTAAGCTAACGCTAGCTTAGTTAGCAGGCTAAAATGCCTCACACCACAGTAAAGGCTCAGTTCCAGTTAAAATTAGAGGATAAAGTCTCATATCTCACATGTAGTTTTCCTCTGTATTTCCTGGTCCTGACTTAGCAGAACGGCAGAAGTATAAATAAAAAGATGAGTTCACAGCAGTGCAGAACAGCACAGTGCGGCCCTGGGACAATTTGGCTCTACAATGGAAAAGAGGCCTTTGGTGTTGTTCTGACCTTCAGAACTGATTCTTGGTATCACAAAATGGTTCACAAATTATTACTAATGAACTCCACCACAAATTACAACTCAAACAGATAAAAAAATAATAATAAAAAAAATGGACAAGTACAGGGATGTCAGAATCCAGTCCTGGACAACCAGTGCTGGTCAGTATTTTTCCTATTTTAATTCATCAGCTAATGACCAAGCCCTCTGTAAGTTGATGGTGGGAGAGTAAAAGCAGGATAAACACTAAGGCCCAATCCCATTTCACCCCTCGCCCCTACCACTTAGCCCTTAGACCTCTGTTTTGCGCATTCATGTCTAGGGGTAGGGTGTCCTGATTGTTGTTCAGATAGAGGGGTAGGGCGAAGTGTTGGGGCTACATGACCCTCCAAACAGAGGTTTTTCAGAGACTCACTCCAAATGTATTATGAGAAAAAAAACAGCATGATGGCTGAACACGCGACCAAAGAAACACACAAATGTGAGTATTTTCTCTGTTAAAAAATACAATAACCATTGTATTGTCTTAGTTTAACGTTGTTTCAGTGTATTATCTTCATATTTTCTTCATAACAAGCAAAAAAAAAAAACTTCCACCTTAAATAGTGCAGCAGTTCTGACGCCTGAAGCGCCAGAATGTAAACGCAGCTTCATTTAAGGTGGAACGGGACAATTCAAACAAGAATCTGGTGAATATCTGACTTCAGCTTCACATCACTGAAGAATTAGGGGTGGGTGATAATAAATAATTGCCCCCCTCTTTGAAGGCATATGAAGCCCTAAATGTAACTAAAGCCCAGCAGTGAGGATCTGAACTCTACCCTTCTCTGCTGTCACTGCAGACTGGCAGGGTCGCCTACAGAGCAGCGCTGGTAGCTGTTAATGAAGTAATGATCTTTATTTTGCTTTTTTTTATTTGAGGGTCCTACTTCATAGGGAAGATTTCAACCACCACCCCTTGTAACTCAGTTCCAAAGGGTTAGGGTGACACTCGAAAACAAGGGAGTAGGGGTAAAAAGAAGAAATGGGACTGGGCCTAAACAGCAGTGCTGTCGTCCTCCAGGACCAGACTTTTAACACCAATGTAACAGTCACAGTTCTAACGGTTTAGCTACTTTCTCTGTGCCAACCAAAATGATTTTTCATCAACAGGTGTTGATGCAATCTAACAATTAACCTAAGAAAGTGTTTACACACATTGAACCTACATCTATGATGTATCAGCACTTACGATCATCAGACAGCAGTGGGGAAGCTGTGCCGGTTTGACCTAGCGATGTAAATATACACTGCCTAGTTAACCATAATGAATAGCGGATGCTAAACTTCGCCCAGCCTTTGTTTTGTTTCGTCTTTCAATCCAAGTAACACTGGATAGTTACTGAAAAACTCAGCTGTGCTTCAGTTAGTTTTTATCACAACAGATCACAAAAGAAAAAATATAAAGCAAAGCGACGACAGCTGCACCGAAGCTTAATCAGCAGCCTGATGAAATACAAACGTCCTGCAGGTTATCGACCTACTGGACTGGGTTCTCTACTTGCCCTTCTCTGGAACAAGTTTGTCAAGTCATCATGATCACAGGTCAAATGCAGGCAAAGAAGATCAGTCTTGACACTTCACATTCCCACCTGCACATACTCCACACTGTGGACACTGGAGAAACTACAGCTACACAGTTTGGAAGTGTTCCTGTCCAATAACAATAATATTCATTATCTACACTCTTGCAAACAGGTTTCTATATAGTACTAAAAATGGTTCTTTGACTGGTAACAATAGTGGAATGTTTTTTTGGTGCTATACAGAACCATTTTTAAAGGGGTTCTTTAAAAGAACCATGCATAGCTGGTTTACCATCATAGAAAAGAACGATTTGAATCCTGAGTGTTCTTAGTTCTATACAGACCCACTGCCTTAACTAAAGAACCAATTTTTAAAGAGTGTAGATTCTTACGGGTTTCTATAAAGTACTGGAAAGAGGTTCTTTGACTCGTAACAAGTAGTAGTGGAACCCTTTTGGTGCTGGACAGAAGCATTTTTAAAAGGGTTCTTTGAAGAGCTACATACTACCGGTTTTCCATCATAGAGTAGAAACAGCTGAGCTTGCTGAGAGCCATTTGTGCATTCAAACGGTTCTGAGTGCTCAGTTATACAAGAACCACTGTCTTTACTAAAGAACCCCTGAAGAACCATTTCTTAAGAGTGTGCAGCACTTTGATGCTTAAAGATAAGGTCATACATTTTCTATTTTGATTTTTTCCTCAATTTTTCCTCAGTTTTCTTCCCGATGTTAGCAGCTGCTGTTTCCCACCCACTATCTAGGTGTGCCTTCTCCATGCCATGTGTAGCCAGAAGAGGTTGGCCAATACTGACGACCCACAGCTTTATCAATATTTACAAAAACATTACTGATAACACGGCGACAATTACCAACTTTTTTGGCTGCTGCAAACTTGTGATCTTGTAAATATATTAAAAAATTGTGTGCCACTGGGGAACCCAAGGAAAGTCACTGTATGACAGCATTACAGGCTGAAAGGGTGAAATCTGAACAGGACAAAATAAAAATGTTACCATCACTGCATTTGTTGTAAACATACATAACCACATCCTGCTGCTGCAGTGGTATCTATAGTGAGATTTTCCAGTTTAAAGAGCAGAATAACGCCCTTCTGGGGGAAGACTGTTTAGATTTTTTTTTCCGTTGGTAAGGAAGGAAGCTGGACAGTTAATATCGCTGCTAGGAAGCCGAACGGTGCACACATCAGCACTGTCTGTTGTTAGCACATGGATAAATTAAGGCTGGCCGAGACCCTCAAAAAACTCCAATTAAGCATGTAGATGTTTGTTGTGTGCAGAAAATACAGTATAATGCAGTAAACATTAACATTACCTCTTACAGGGGAAAAACAGCTCCAACAGCCAAAGCATGTTGCTAGCTAACGTGTTTTGCTTGTGCTATTAATTGTACTCTGGTAGTTTTAAGAGCACAGACTACAGGAAGTTTGCGGTGGGTTTCGTACCAATTATTGTAGTAGATTTCATTACGTGATCAGGTCTATATATGTGTGTATATATGTGTGTGTGTGTGTGTGTGTGTGTGTGTGTGTGTGTATATATATATATATATATATATATATATATATATATATACACACACACACGTGTGTAACAATCGCTGTCGTCGGAAGAAAACCTCGGATCTCCAAAATGGTAACTTTACAGGAAAAGGAAAAACCCTAATTTACTTTTAATGTAAGTCAATGGAACCGTTTTTTCCAAGTCATTTGGGCCTTTTAGTCACATACACGTGTGTATATATATATATATATATATATATATATATATATATATATACACATATACACACACACACACACATTTGATGTGATTAGTCACGACGCTCATAGCACATAGTAAAAACACTGATTGGTTAGTGGTTCATTTGCATATCGCAGCCTCCTGTTAGATCAGTGTTGTACAGGCCAGAATCACCATAAAGGAAAAGCAAACAACACATCGTGCGGCCCTGGTGTGAAGAACAGGACACTTGTCAGGTACAGAGCGACAGAGAAACAGACAAGTTCAAGTACCAGCCTTTCAACTCGCCCACCTTTCTGAGTTAATGATTAATTCATTATATTTATTAATGTTTAACTACTGGTGATGCACTGTAAAACGAGAAACACTCATTTGTTTGTTATACAGACAAACAGACGTACTACTGCTCATCAGGTGAACTACAGTACACTGCACTGAACGTGTGTACAGACAGGATCACCTGCAGCTATGCCTGCTCCTACTTTTCTGCCCAAGCTGAATTGCTCTTGCAACAATCAAAGCAAAAACCACATTACCCACAGGCCTGTGAACATTTGTGTGGTTTTATGTATCTAAACAATAGTGATATGTAATTTTTACATGACCATTTTTCAACCTCTTTTTATCCCTTACACTTAAACAGGCTGTAT